GCATAGCCCAAATAGTGCAATTACTTTAAAAAAAAGATTGAACAATATGGGCATTTACAAGCGTCAGGAATGTGGTTTATTGTGTGCATTTAGAGAGAGGCTATTTGGCCCTTTTCTTGGATTTGCATGTAGAGAGATGATTCATTTGCAGAGTTGCTGACTCTCTCTGATGGCCGGCGGCGGGGGTTATGTGCATTTGTGTTCAATGCGGTTGAACCTCCACCCCCTCTTCTACCCACTTAGCACACAGAGTCCCAGATGCATTGTTTTCCCATTTAGCAGACGAAAAGCACCTTTCTAAACAGTTAATAGCTTTCCAGGGACACGGGTCGTGTTTTGAGTGCAGAATAATCAATGTAAATAAAGTCATATTTTGGTCTGCCTATTGAATTCACAGCGCAAAGTAACCACAAAACAGCACTGCTTCTGTCAGCAATCCATCTCATTTCAACCAGTAAATTACCAGGCCTATTTGCACTTGGCACTCGGGAACATGATGCAAGTTATTTTGTGTCCTGAATGAGAAATATTTCCTGGCGTTTCCCTGCCTCCAAAGTATTACAGCCAATTTGATATTAGATAAATATTTGAGCTGGCATGCAATGAAGCGTATGTCATTTGAGCAAAAAGCACTGGCACTATGGATGCATTTAGCGGCTCAAAGGGACGCAAAAGACAAGGGAGAGGCCTTGTCTGTTCTCCATTAGATTCCACTCAGTACTTCTCCAAACAGAGAGGAGGCTAGCCAAACAAGCTTATTCAAGGGGGTTCTGTGTGGACCGTGTTAGCTCAGCAAATCCAGCTCCACAAACATGCTTCAAAGAATCCTGCTATCTCTGCAGAGCCTTTGATGTGCGTATTGATCATGCAGCGGTCTGTGAGAAAGAGGGATGCACTGGAAGTTTTAATGTTGTCTTCTGGCTCAGACAGAATAGATAATAGCAAAAACATGAACTCCTATCACGTCGCGCTGAGCTTGGGTTAGGACAGCTGCACAAGCATTTTCTGCCTCGGAGGTGGATGCGATTCGGAGTAAAAAGACAACGGAAGAGCAAATCCGACCCTTTTTCCCCGAGGACAGGTCACAGCGCATTACGTTTACCACGGTAGAGGCGCCGCAGAAGAATACAAATGGAGTGAAAACACGTGTTGACAGACACCTCCAGGTGACAGTGTAAACAGGTCTGAGATTTGTCCAGCCACTTCTAAAAAGCACAAATACAATCCCATTTTATGAGGTCGCCTCGGCCTCGCGAGGGAAACGCGAACAACAGTAACACTTTCTGAAAGTTCGCACTACCGTGGCCAGGACGGCAAACATAAACAGAGCAAACCTTTTTCATCGGCACACCGTCATGGTGTATGCTATGGAAAGGCAAACAAGGTCTGTTCTTCTTTGCGTGGTAAAACAAACCACCCACACCCCTGCTACTGTCTCACACCGAGACCATTAGTCACGATGATTTCTCTGCCAGCTGTCCTGGTGTTTGCTTAAGCTCGCCTCGCAGGCAGTTTGAGCCTCATTTGAATTCTCACTTGAGTTCATCAGCCATGGCGCTGGATCATTAGCATCCAGCCAGGCCCATGTAGATGTGTTCCTCAGGTAATGTTCAAATGCAAATCGCAACGGTCATTAATCACGCGGATAAACGCGCCATGGAAATGGCACGCTCCGGGAATCACGCGCGCACCACGTTCGCCCAGCGGTTTGGCTTTTCTGAGCAACTGACCCGTTCACCTTGTAAACAGCAGACGCAGCCAGCGATCTAATCTTATTTGCGCACGTGGGCGCTCGGATCTCGGCCTTAATACTCATACCTGGCCGTGTGACACAAGTAGCATGAATGGACTTTGCATCTTAGCCTTATCCAATGAATTAAGTAACAACTCCTTAATACGCCATGTCGAATTGCCTGCATTTACAAAGTGCAAAGTGTGCAGTGTGTCAGGCTATTATAAGATAAACAGCGGACGTGGGCTTTCAAAAAGGCCTTTATGTTTGCTTTTGCGGGGGATTTCGTGAGTAGGGACTGATTGAGCCTCATGCAGATATAAAAATCATGTGGCGCTATTTCACCTTCTTCCAAATGCCACCTGTGATTGTTCACAGATAAGCCGGCTCCAGTGTGAGTCATCTGCATGAAAGCATTGGCAGGACAAAGGTTTAAAATACAATTCTCCTTCTCACTTTAGCAAACAAGGACTCCCGGATATCCGTTTAGCGGGTTAATGAGAGGCGTTTTAACGCTCATTTATTCTTTGTACTTGCAGAAGTGAAGTGAAAGGATTCACGTGATGTGAGAAAGTTGAGTGGATCTCCCACACATTCCAAATACCATTTAGTCATCATGCATCATCCTGTATCGGGCCATTGTCAGTACAATCAATTCTGGCACCTCCTCCCCTTTCGTTTCATCAGAATAAAGCTTGCAGCGCTGCTTAAATAATCAGCCAACTGCACGCAAAGCCCGGTTACGCTGCAGCGCTAACTAGATGAGATCAACCGCTTGTAAAAAAAATAAAAAAAGTCAGCCAGCATTGTATTCGAGGGACACATCGCAGTCACAATGAAAGCGAGTCAATGGGAATCAGTCATGGCATACATGTCACCGCAGTCAGAACACAGCCAGATAAAAGTGCGGCCAAGCCGCATGAACTTGGCAAAGAGAATACACTCAACCGACAGCTGCGAGCACTTAGTCGACTGCGAAGAACAAAGAGGTGGAGACGGGAACAAAAAGCATTCGGCCCAATTTACCTAGAACGAGCACACACGACAACGGCTTCCAATATTTTCGACGACAAATCCGTCACGTCTCGAGTCACGTCGGTCGGAGGTCAACCCTCTCAATGTCGACGTGTAACACAACAACAAGCGTGACGACGAATGGATTCCTCATCTCCACATGACAACGGGCAGGAGATGAAATGGACAGTGACCGACTTAACATCTGTTTAAATCACCTTTGGGTGTAAAACGTTGTCCGGCCAGCGCCATGTAAGAAAATCTGCTCAGCTAGTTGTAGACTGTCTCGCCGAGTGTGAGCGCAGGAGCTAAGTGACACATCGCGCTAACAAAGCACAGCAGGAGGCGGAGCAGATGGGATGAGGTGCTCTCAACCACTAACCACATGCGCTTAAGGTCCACAGCAATTCTCATCCGATGTGCTCCTGAACAGCTGAAAAAGCAAACTCCACCTCTGGGAGTCTCTGCCAGTTTGTGACTCTTTGACCCATCTGCTCTTCACCGAAACGACAGCGTGGGAGCATTTACCTTTTATTAACACTGAACACGGGGCCTCGTGCCTCCCCCGGGCCTTTTAGTATGCATTAAGGCAGAGGAGCGAGCGAGGGAACAGGAGCTCTGCAAAGAAGAAGAGAAAAGGAGGCAGATGAGCCGCGAGAGGCTGCGAGATGGGCTGAATGACAATCGACTGGCTGTCAACACTCATCTGCATTCCCGCGTCTTTGCGGGCCGACGCATTTAGCCCGGCAGGCAGCCGCGCGGCCTTGACATATGAAGACGCAGCGCACAGGCCCGGCTTTGCTGAGCTTTGCTGCCGCTCACGTGCAGCATTTACTCGTGTTTCTCACTAATTGGCTTTGATTGTCGGGGGAATTGTGATCCCCCGCCGTGCGGAAAGCCTTCGTGATGGGGTTCTGGTGTAAAGGAGAGCCGTGGCTGTGATTTGGGGAGTCGCTTCGACGTGCCCTTCAAATCAGAAAGCATTCGGTTATGATACAGCTTTGGAAGCCACTGCAGCAGGCGTCCTCCTCCGAAACGCGCCGTACAGCCAAGTTTAGAGTGCCACTAGATGGGGTTACGCTTTCATCACACCTATTTAAACTCAGGCCCACTTTTCACGGACTGATCCAGTACGACGCGTTAATCACGGGAGCAGAAAGAGGTCACGGACCTGATGCTCAAGTCAAATATAGAAAATCAAAATGGCTTCATTAAAGCAGCTGTAATCAATAATTTGTATTAATAGATCAATATGAAACGGTTGAACACAAACTACTGAAAGGTTAGCGGCCAGCTGACCGCTAGCTGATACTATGTCACTTAAAAGTACATTTCTTGCGGCGACATGGCCACAGAAACGGTTCATCCAGGTTTAACTTCTAAACGAGATGGCTATTGAGCGGATTAAAAGAAATGATATCAGTCAAAATGATGACCTGTGTTATTTTCAACCACTGAGCGGCCGTCACTGACATCATAGATTGTTGTAAATTATTTGATATTGCCTGTAGCAAAAGGCCCGTTCAACACTTCAAGAGTCAATAAAACAAACGCAATTAGGCTTCTTTAAAATATCATTGACTTGTTTTCAAGCAGAACATCAGAATCCTCTCCAGCAAGTTTAATATTATTGATAAGCGTGATGTGTGATTAGAAGCCGGAGGCTGTGAAATGGAGTCCGATGTGTTCTTACCATCCATTCGGGTCAACGGCCGTGAAGACTTTGTTCTTGCGGATTTTCGTTGCAGCTTTTCACGCGAGTGTGGGGGGGGGGGGGGGGGGGAAGAGTTTTGAAATAACATCTTTGTACTTCTCGCCGCCACTTGCTGTGGAGGGTTTGCAGTGAGAAGTGTCGTGCAGCACACCAAACAGAGCCTGGTCAAAACGCAGAGCGCTCAATACCTCATAGGAGTGAATTTAATGGCGCTGGTTGCTCTGGGCTCTTGACCCTCTCCAAGAGGCTCCGCGTTAGTCACTCTCCGGCGCTTTCCAATTGAAACCCAGCCAGACTGGTGGTTGATGAGATTTCAACTGTCCACTCGGCGCCTGGATGACAGTAGCGCGAGCTTCTGCTGGCCGTTACACGCGTGATGCGAGAAACGGGACGCTGACATTTTAGCTCGTGGGAGTTTAAGCTCAACAGTTAACAGCATCAAGTTTGTCCCCCCCTCAGATACCAAACGCCCTTGTTTGCAGGCAAAGGTCAAAACTGTCAAAAGAAAAGTTACGTGAGAACAAACCACACACACAACAGTTAAAATCAGGAAGTAGTCTTTTTAATATGTGGGACCCGGCATACCAGAAGGACGACAACCACTCATGTGGATTTATATACGCGGTGTTTGGTTTAACATATTACATATCTAAATCAAGCATGAGCACAGTAAAGCAATTTGTGCCAAGTAATCCAAAGCATGCATTGTTTATATGACATATAATATAGCCAGTTGTAATACAGCGTCGCCCAGCGCTTTAACGTTTCATCTCTTTTCAAGCGTGGTTTGAAAAAAGGCGGGGCGTCTCTTCTTAACGGACCATCCACAGTTCTGCTCATCCGTTTTAAAGCAGGAAACCGTGCAAAGCGGTTATTACTTTTCACGCACTCTTAAGCCCCGTGTTTTTCTACAGTGACGTCCGTATAGTTGGCATTTCAACATGCTCAGAGTGTGCAACTGCGGTCCTGTATCACCACCTAGTGTCCCAAAACGAGCCGAGCGCTCCCTCCGTGGAGCGTTACGCAACAAAACTGTCAAATTTGCTCTGTATTTACTGCGTGCACGGGACAAACTGGTGCTCCGTGGGATTTTAGTCCTTACAGTAAAAGGCAAGAGATATCGGTTTCATCCAAACTGTATGGAGTAGGGAATTTAATGTAAATGGATTAATCAAACTTCACTCAATATAATATAACTAAAGCTCAATATAATTCACCCATCGAGAACCAAATATTGAGCAGATAAAAATCTATTTGGTCGCTTCATGACTCCTGAAGTGCCAAATAACAGACTTTTGATGCACACAGACTCTTTTCAGCAGCAGCGCCGCAGTAACTACATCACAGAAGATCTATCTTCAAATACAACGCATATAATATTTTACAGCTTTGGTGATCTATGTATATACACTTCTGAATATATAAAAAGTGTGGAAAAAGGTTTAAATACTATAAGTAGGGCTACACAGCCAGGGGGAGGAGGAGCGATGCCAGGAGCAGCTGTCGGCTGCGTTTAGGGTTTTCTGCGTCTGTAAGAAGAAAAAGTGAAATACTTTTCTGTGTATTGCAAAAGTAAATGTTATTTTCGGACGTGATCTGTGGACAGCTTACTTGGTGTTTACATGATGCTCAAAGCTAGGACCCATGTTTGATCCAGCCCTCATCTCCACAGCCACAGAACACTGGCAACAAAAGACGAATTAGGACCCAAATCGACGAAATTATAAAGACACATAAACAGCAAGAAAACGAGACGTTGTTGCTTCTTACTGAAATATCTCGCTGCCTGCAATGCTGGTACAATGTTAAGACGTGACCGCTGTGTCAGAGCTGTATTGTTTTAACTTTACCCACATTTAAATATGTACTTGGAGGGTATTGTATTTAGTGTTTATATGATTAATTATGAACAATATTAAATCAGCAATTATATTAATTGTCATTTTTACTGCTTCTCTTGCCTTGCACACATTAGCAGCATGGAAATATAAATGCCTTTGGCTGAGCAATAAAAGCAAGTTTGCATTTTTTTTATATAGCTGAAAGAACAAGAGACACCGCTTTAGGTTGCCCACCAGGCCTCTGTACACAAGCATCAAGCATCACATCACGTTTCATCACGAGAGCCATCTGCTTTCGCACCAGGCTATTGGAGACTGATCAATAATCATCATCCTACCCTCGTCTCCACATCAGTCCAAGAACCACCTGTTCCATCTCCGGGTGCACCTTCGGATGATTTTCTTTTACGCCTTCAGAAACAAACGGAAAAGTGACCGAAAGCAAAATGTTTAAGCATCATTACGAACACTTGACTGATCTGCGCTCCTGCCTGGCTGCTACCTCGGGACTGCGGTGAGCTCCTGCTTCAGGGTCTCGATGTCAGTGAACTGGACGGACTGTCCTCCTCCTCTTGTTTGAATCACCTCACCCTGTAAAACGAAGAACACGTTTGATGTAATAGAGATCAGTCGCAGGATCCTTTCCTTAAAAAATAAAAAATTGAAAAAGACAACCAACACTAGTTTCATATCAGCCTCGTGCTCCTCAACCAAAGGATGATTATCTTTGCTACTAAATAAATACATGGCCTGAAATGTCAGCAGCCTTGAGCGACATACAGGTGACGGCATGTGGGAGACGAAGGAGTTCCTGATCTGAACGTTATGCTCCAACGTGACGGTACTTAAAAACATCAACTTTACACAATGCAAACCTATAGTCAGAGTAACCGTACTAACCTTAACATATTTGGTCTGTATTTCACCGTCGGAGCCGACCTCCTGGTGCGTCAACATGTAGCGGTCACACTTGGCCAGGGCCTTCCCGCTGGCTGCCGACACCTGGATGGCGTTGGGGATGACGGGCTGCAGAACTGTACCCAAGTCCAAGCTGGACGTGGGCTTGTGGTCGACCCACTTCTCGCCGCCAGCGGAGTGAGAGCGACGGTGCAGCGGCCGCACCGGCGTTGTCGTCTACGTGGCGGAGAAGCAGTCGAAAAAAGAACTTAGACAAGAAGGATCACACTGACAAAGACATGGACAGTGTTTCCCCACACATAGACTCACTTGTGGCGGCGAGCCACAAATTCAACACGGGCCGCCACACATCCACGCGTTTGGTGCAATTTTTTTTAACGCTATTTAAATCACGCAGCGTATTCGTTCAGCTGGATTTTCTTTCCCTGCTCTCCCTCCATCTCGGTCACACACACACACACGTCTTTTTTTAGCAAGCCCCGCAAATTACGTTGCTGTGATCAAAGTTGCAGACTTTGCGCATTTACTACGACGTTTGTATAAGCGTGAATCCCTGTTTTGTATTTTCTCCAATAAAGTTGTCTTACAAATGAATATTGAACCCCCCCGCCCCCCCCCCAGCCGCCACACGTTGACGTTGGATCTGTGGGAAACACTGATGGACCATGAGTCCGCTAAATGGCTTGCATACCACTTCAGTTGAAGGAACTCAAACTGAAAACAGTGTCTAAAGAGAAGGACTCCTAATCTGACAAGAGTCGCTATGAAACCTCAAGCTGCTTCCTGTAGCTCCTCTCGGATATACATGCACGGTTAGATACAGTTAGTACAAAGAAATGGCATATGGATGACGTGGTACTGGTGGAACGGAGCAGCAGCAGACACCTTTGTGGTGTATGTTACGTTGTGTATGTTTAACTGCAGCAGGACTAATGCACTGAACCATACTATCGTGTGTGTTACTGCAACGCTGCTCCCGCATCCACCGCCACCACGGTGGGATTAGTAATATTAGTGCGGAGGGGGGGGGGCGAAGAAAACGCAAAAGGATTACGACCAAGCGGGGCTCTGGATGCGCATTGTCAACACAACATACAGGGACGGGCGAGGGCGAGGCCGATCTCTTGGCGGAGAGTCGCTCCTCTCTGGAAGGCCGCTGAGGCTGCGTCTGACGGGGTGGAGGATCGGGGCGACCCGGAGTCTTGCTCTCAGTCACGATGGCCTTGAGCTGCTTCAGCTTCTCGTCTTTCACCCAAAGCTTGTTTTGCATTTCCAGCTGCATCGCGTTAACGCGTCGGTCCTGCACAGCGAGGAGGAGGAAATTGTTGGCATGACCAAAACAAAACAAAAAAAAACTGGACAATCTCCAACTTGCTACTCTAAAAAGAAATATATAGCACGCACAAGGGTGTATCAGCATTAGAAGAGAAACTCACACATTCTTTCTCCCACTTGTACTGGGTGTCTGTGACCTGGCCCTGCATGCGCTGCTCCATGCGCTTCTTCTCGGACAGCTCCCTCTGCAGCCTCTGGTCTCTGGTTTCCAGCTCGTACTTCATGGAGCGCTTGTCGTCCTCGTATATTTTAGTGGTTTTCTGCAGGATGTCGATCTGGAACAGGACCGTGTTGGACGTTTAAGGAACGGAGCAACATATCTACAAAACAAACGAGCAGTAACTGGCCGGCGTGGATGTTCGAGTCCCGTCACCTTGTGTTCTTGCATCCTGATTATTTTCTCCATGCGTTCGAGCTCCACCTTGTTGTTCTGGATGATTTTATCCAGATTCCCCAGCTCGCCATTTTGTTCATGAATTAAATTGTCTTTAGAATTGTGGACGCTGCCCAGCTCCTGAAGCTTGGACTTCATCAGGTTTGCTAAAATAACCCAGGGGAGAAGACATGGAGCAGAGTTGAGACACTTTAAGTGACCTGAGCAATCCCAGCTGTGCAGCGAGAGGCGCTAGGAGGTCAGACGGCACCTGTATTGTTGTATTTGTCGATCATCATCTGCCTGATCCGGTGTCTGTTCTGCAGAGCTTCGATCAGCCTGGGCAGGGTGATGTCATCGTTGGGGTCGGTCAGCTCAGAGGAAGGTAGAGGGGGGAGGCTGTGCACCACTTGGTTCAAACCAAAGGGCACATCTAAAAAAGAAAAAGAAAAAATTCCTTTTAGGTTCTTTTTTTTTTTTTTGAAGATGAAGATATTGGTTATTTTTCAGTACATTGGTGCTTAAGAACTAATGCCATTATACATTTATTTTTGCAGATGTAGCTTACATGTATTACGTGTAGAACTTACCTCCATCTATCGGACCACCGCGCTCGTCCAGCTTGCGGGTCAGTTCCTCTTTGAAGGCCCGGTTTCTATGGCGACGGCCTGGTGTGAAGCCACAGATGGGCCTGTCCACTGGCCGGGCCACTTCCACCTCCTGGGTCATCTCTGCAAACCGCATCACCAGCTGGACAAACACAGTCCGGGTGAGAGTGAGACGTAAAGAAACGTTTTATGTCCATTCAATGATCGGGAAGGGGGGGAGGGGCACAGAGTGAAGGGGCGGGGCGAACGTACCACAGTTTCCTCGTAGTCGTCAGCTTTCGGATTGACGCAAACAACCATTCGGACTTTTCCCTCTCCGTCAAAGTAGTTCTTGAACAGATGGGTTACTTTGGAGTCTCTGTAGGGGACCATCTGGAAGGGAAAACCTGTGTTACCTGCACGGTTCTCCAGAGAATGAAATTACAGTATTTGCTCCGGTGATTCCTACCCGGTTTGTGCCACACATCTGGTTTTCCCGGAGTACCTCAATGCATGTTCGCAGATTGAGCAGAGACTGATTTATGTTACCTGTGAGGTAAGAATGTCATTTATTATCAAGCAACTTAAGTTTAAAAAAATAAAATAAAATAAAAAAGCTTTATTCGGCTGTTTTTGTCACAAACCTGCTTCTCGTATGCGTGTGCCTTCTGCCCCCGTCCTACCGGTGCGCTCGCTTCCTGCCAAGTCCACCAGGCAGAGCTGACTAACAGTCACCTGGCTTTTATCCTGACACAGACAAAAAAATGGGGGGGGAAAAATTCATTTAAAATGAATCAGAGTGTGACCCTGCGATCAGATACTGGGTTTCAGTTCTACTGACCTGGAGAATGTTGTCGCCATCTGCGTCCAGAGGGGCCTGCGCCAGTTTGACTATGAGCACGCTGTGGGAGCGACTGGACTCCCGGTTCAGGCAGGTGTTGGCGACCTTCCTCTTCTTCTGACCTGGAACGTCATAATACAGGGAGCTTTTCAAAGAACACGTCTATTCACTACTCGCGTGCCGGTTCGACGGCTCTAAAAATGGATTTTTGCGCTCTTGCGCCAACAGCTCAGAGAGAAGATCGTCTGAGGTCATATCCGGGCCAGAGCCGACCCGGAGGCCAGCAATGCCAGGTCACTCACATCTAGTATCATCAGGGCAATGTTTTTCATTAAATAAACGGTTGGACTTCACAGCACAAATCTCACAGGCACTCACCTCTCCAGAAGACTTGGAATGCCTCCTCGGCAGACTTGACTTCGACCTCCATGCAACCAGACACATACATGTTGTGATTCTGGTCCTCTCTGAGGATCTTTGATTGCGGCGGTCTACGTTGAGAACGGAAAAGTGTTAAGTCACTGACAACATGGGTTTCATTTTTCATCCACAAACTGTGTAACAAACATGGAAGGGGTGTGGGGGGGGGGGGGTATAGATGTTGCTTGATTGCAGCCATGGAAAAAAAAAAAAAAAGCGCAGTTCAAAGCAACAGGCAGCCGGTTTACATTCAGGGGATTTGACCAACAAAGACTACAAGCAGCTGGAGGGGTGATGCGATCAACACTGGAGAAATCACCTGGATATCGTATGGGTATTATTGGCGTACCAAAATCTAGCATTGAGCACTGGCAGACATTTTGATTCAAATGGGAATTTTGCAACTGTTCTTGTACAGCTGCATGTGTTTTCGAAGAACTTCTGGTTTCATAATGCGGCAATTGATTATTTTGTTTATGCTTAAACTTCAGAATCAAATGTTCAGTTGACCATCATACAAAGTCAAAACAGCAAATGCTCTAGAGATTATTTTGACGATAAAAAAGGTAAAACCGCCCTGAAACCCGGCCTTAGTTCTGGGTAATTTCTTAGTCGTCCTGACAATTATATTTCATTTTTAATACAAGAGGTTTCCGCGTCATGTTTGTTAGTTAAAGCACGTCTCCAGTGTTGACTGTAGAGTTAATCTCAACTAGGCTACAAGTCGGATGATGCTCGAGTATTCACTGGTCACATACATGAACTCAGTGTTCTGGCGTACAGGTGTGCCTCCACCATTCCACCTAGTAGAAAGAAAAGGCCGTAATTGTCTTCATGATTCTTCAGGAGAAAAAAAGTACCTAAACAAACTATTGAACTTGAAATATAACATATGAAAAGAGTCAAATGATTAATCAGCATTTCAATTCTGTTTATATGATCACATTCCTCTCACTTTAAAGTTCCCGGACTCACTTTGGTTTGATAGCATCTTCCTGATTTTCCTCCAGGAGATCATAGATGTAGTTGTTGTAGATTTCTATGTAGGAAACGAAGACGCTGTAGCTGCTGTCCTCGTCCACACCTTCAGTTTTAAAGGCCTCCTCAGACTTTATCATATCAGCAATTTCAGGATCGAGCTTTTGTCTGGAACCAAAGCAGCGACTTGCATGTTATATAGAAGCTACACAGTAGCAGAACGCTGGTGTTTAACAAGACTCAGACTCACCTGGATGAGGATGGTTTGGGAAAGGACGGGTTGTTTTCCCGCTTTTGGCGCTCCAGCAAAGCATCAACTTCACTCTGGACCTCCATGCCATTTTTGTCATCGGTCTTGAAAACCTGACAAATATTACATGAATTAGAATACATGCACCAATTTCACAATCTAGTTTTTAGGGTACAAGAGACGATTGCCACCGCACTTTCACGTTTCCTCACTTACATATCTTTTGGTCTGGTACGGTCCTATACTGTTAAAGATCATGTCCAGTGAGCGAGGTAGAAGTCCACCTTGGCCCGGAGAGCCCGTCATGGTGAACGTCTTCCCACTTCCTGTGACCCCGTACGTGAAGAGCAGACCTGCAACAAGCAAGGAAAACGCCGCAAAATGACTGATATGTGGTGTGAAAAACAATTGCATCTAATTAAACTGTTATTTGAAAAAGAAATAACTCTTTTCAGAGGTTGGGTGCTCTTACCGTTCTTTCCGTGGATGAGGTCGTCAACAAGAGGTTTGGCCACATGCTCAAACAGCTCCATCTGAGACATCGACACTCCAAATACTTTCTTGAAGGAATACTGGGTCTGAGAAGTGAAAAACAGTATTTGGAATATTTAAGCGGACATTGAAGCAAACGGCTGGCGTTATACGTCATTGTACTATTATCTGAGGTCATAAACGAAAAAGGATAAGTTTAGACAAAAGTAGCTTCTGTGTGGGTTAAATCGAGAGCAAACTGTCTACTATGGTTAATACAATACACATTTGGTTAACAACCGGGTATTTATGGCAGCAGGATCGTGTATGTGGGATTGATTTGAGGAGCATTTCCCAAACCATCGATGTGAGCATTTGTTTAACAGTGGTTAAGCTCTATGAGACAACACCAGTTTCCATGGGGATCTGTTCAGGTACACATATAGATTACCTCCTTGTACTCTCCATTGCGGTTTGTTTTAAAGCCTTCGGGGGCGTGCAGCTGGATGGTGGTGCCGCTGATCACCTCGATGCAACACTCCTCGCCCTCCGCACCCAAAGGTCGTACGCGACAGTACACCTGAGGAAAACCAAGTCTCAGGAAGCAACAAGCCAAACGGTCGCATAACGTCATCGCATAACAAACGTAATGCATGCAACAAACGTATGAGACACTCACCCCAACCGGGTCTTTCTGGGTACTGGATGGCTTTTTATTAGGCCTCCGGGGGGTTCTTCCTTTCCTGAAAAAAAAAGGAAAAATGCGTGGACAAAGCGACCGGTAACGTTACGGCTAAGCTAACAGCTAACGTTAGTTAGCCAACAGTTGTTTGTATTCAGTTAGCAAGTCGTATTTTAACTAAAGCACGACATTTAGCCTCAGAATACTTATAGATCATCAACTTTAAACGCAGTAAATCTACTTACGCTTGCCTGATCATCGTAACTCGCTGCTTCCTGTGATTTTCGTATCGTCCTTGTTCCTGCAATTTTGAAAATTCCCTCCGCCTCTGATCGGAGGAGTGCTTATTTCAAACCAAGGCGGCAGCAGCCAATGAGACTTCAGAACAGGCAATCACGTGTTTCCGGCTTCAGCTCAGAGCCTTTTGTGGAAGCAACAGAAATGTAAAATATGTTGCACGGCATCGACAGATACTAGCAGACACTAGCAGATACTAGCAGACAGCGCGTCGTCGTAGGAAATCCTAAAAGAAAAAAGGATAAGTGCATTGTATTGTATCTGTTATCTAAGTAAATCATAAAATAATACATTTGTAGAAAGATACTGAAAGCTAGTAACGTTCATCTCATATACATTTATGAACTTAAGGCACGCTACAATATGCAATAGTTTATACCTTAGTCGTATCAGATATTTACATCAGATATTTAAAAATAATTCAAGCTCCAAAAATCAGTTTTACAATATGTTTATATAATCCAAATCAAGTCAATAAATATATTGATAACACAAATAATACATTTAGTATGAGGTAATCGTTTTCTTAATAAATACTGGAATGTATAGAATAAATTCGTCTTTTTTTACCTTGTTTTTTAAAGTTGTTTTTATTTAATTTCTACAGGTCATGTTTAACTTTTACACACTCCATTGCGTTAGGGGGCGGTATGTAACTCATAACATGTATGTCAACCCGCCAATGAACGCAAAGAAGAAAAAGGTACCGCCCCCCACCTGTGACTCAATTCACGTTACAAAACACAGGCGTGCAGCACCGTTGTGTAATATCAACACCAGCGGCTCCTACTCTTAAACTGCGGCATTGAACCCTGAATATCACACCTATGCAGTCCGGTCGGATGAGTAAGTGACGAGTCAAATCTCCCGTGTTGTGTTATACGATAAAAAAATATATTTTTGAAGGGGGGAAAATGAAAACAAGACAGACGAAGTCCGCAGATGCAAATGCTAAACCGAAGAAAGCGACAGCGGGAAGTTCAGGTCCAGCGCTCTCCAAAAAACTACGATACAGAAAACATGGAGAAACATCCAAAGGTGTGCAGGACGGACAGCTCCAGTACATTGCGCGACAGATGTCTCTGTCCTGACAGTCTGTTGATGTTTCAGGTCCTCCTGCTACGCCTGCAGGGGTTCAGAGGAGAGGAGGGTACAGCAGCATCCTGCACTACATTTACAAGAGCAGTCTGGGAGAAACCCTTCACTCCCAGATGAGGCGGGTGAGTCTGCACATGCATGCCATGGGTCTATGTCAATGTATGACAGAGTTCTCCCAAATGCATATCACTTTATTGACACGTGCATCATTGAAGGTAGAAACATATATTCATGTGCAGATGGCCTCTTGTCGTCCATGTCGTCTCTTCCAGTGTCTGCAGCAACCCTTTGTCCGCTCGCTGTCGTCCTATCACTTCCACGGTGCCACCAGCCCCTTCAACCGGAGAATCACCTGCCTGGAGTGGCACCCCGCTCATCCCACCACACTGGCCATGGGCTCCAAGGGCGGCGACATATACCTGTGGGATTTTGAGGTGCCCACTAAAAAAGTCTTTCTTCAAGGGGTGAGTTCCTGCGCCAGATCCCCAAATGGGCTCGACAGCTCGAGTCGGTCAACGAGGGGGCCCATTTCAAAACTGAATAATAAAAAAAAGACTCCATGAAGCTGTGATTCATTTCCAACCTGTGTAAACCAGACTTACTCGATCGCGCCTTTTTTTATTGGTTCTCTGCCTAGATGGGGGTCGGAGACTCAGTTACAGACATGACGTTTAACAAGTTAAATCCCACTCAGCTGTTCACCTCGTCTATGGCGGGGGTGACAGCGCTACGAGATCTCAATGGGACAACTTTAACAGTGTTTGCCAACACAGACCTAATGAAGTAAGACATGGTCTGCTTTCTCTAAGCTGCTACCAAAGCGAGTCACAGGCCCGAGCATCAGTCTTCTTACCACGTGGCCCTCGTTGGTTTTAATGCTACACACGTGTGTGGTAGTGTGGTGCCGGTAGCTGTCCTGTTGTGACAGGCCTGCGTTTGTGTCCCCGTGCACAGAGCGGAGCGGGAGACTTTATCGGAGGGATGAAGTTTTGCCCGACGGACCTTTCCCAAGTCTACGTGGCTTCTGGCGAGGGCACGTTGACCACGCAGAGCTTCGAGGGCGGCCGCACGCCCACCGTTCTGTCCAGGACTCAAGACTGTGGCCACGATCACCACAACGTCTGGTGAGAAGACTGATGCTCAAAGAGATGCTGTGACCTCAATGTGCTGAGGTGTAACCTTCGCTTTTCCAACATTTCACCTTTATGAAATAAGAAAGGTGAATGTTACAACTCTGAAAACAGTTGTAACACCGCATCTCTCAGCTGGTTTGTGGTTTGTGTGTGTGTTTTTATTAGGGGTGGGAATCTCTTGGCACCTCACGATTCGATTCGATTCCGATTCAGAGGTCAACGATTCGATTCTAAACCAATTATCGATTCTAAACTGATAAAATGATTATCGATGCATCTTGATTTTCTAAATTTTCTCAAATCTGAGTTTGCTACTCAGAGGTTGCTAATTACTTCCTACTTTATTTGATAATTTAAAAAAATCAACAGATGAATTACCTTCTCTAATTTTTTATAAGAGAAAAAAAAATCTTTGTCACAAATATGATTTTCTATCAACAATGCAAGAACCAACGCAGCTTGCATTTCAACACAATATGGAAGTAGCCGATGTAAAAAAATATTAAACCGATTCATTTTTCTTTTAAATGAAGAAAAAGCTGCTCTTAGGCTCAGGCCGGTCCGTATTTGTAAAATACCGGAAAAAAGTCCAAATCTGTGAATATCTTGCCAACTTTCAATACGGATCGACTTTTTGGAAAATCTAAATAATGAGGTGTAGAGACCACTGGCTCCGCCCCCTCACTGTCAAAAAGAAAAACAGCGAGCGCGTAGAAAACACCTTCGAGCGCGAGCAGAGACTAACCTCGCGAGCGAGGAAGTTCACGCTCCGCGAGATGAACTTTTGCTTGCGCGAGACAGACTTTTTTTTTTTTTAATTTTGATTATTAACTTTTCTGAATCGAGACCGAATCGTTCTAGAGAGAATCAAGAGAAATCAAAAAATCAATGAAGCATTGTCTAATGTGAATGCACAAATATATTCCACTAGACAGCATTAATAAGGGACAATGCATTCATTCATCCAGTCTGTGACCATAAACATGTAGTTTCTGTTTCTAAAGTTTCTGGTACTGCTGCGTGGATGTGTCTATAAGTCGACGGATGCTCGTGACCGGAGACAACGTGGGACAGCTCGTACTCCTGGGTTTGGATGGCCAAAAGGTTTGCGTCTATCTCACCTGGGTGTGAATAGAAACTGTGTGAGGGTTTTTATAAAGTGTGTCTTTTTATTGTTGATGCCTTTTTTGGTTCTGTTTTGACTTTGTAGATTTTCAGTAACAAGCTGCACAAAGCCAAAGTGACCCATGCAGAGTTCAACTCCTGCTGTGACTGGTTGTTGGCAACGGCCTCAGTCGACCACACTGTGAAACTTTGGGATCTGAGAAACATCAAAGACAAGCAGAGCTTCCTCCATGAGATGCCTCATGAGAAAGCTGTGAACTCGGGTAACACTCATTACCTCTTGCAGTGCACATCTTATTTTGGAATATCTTGGAATATTTGTGCAATATTCCTAATATACACATTTGTGGAGTAGTGACGTTGCTACGCGGACGTTGTAAAGAAATCTCGGCCATTCTGTTGTCTCCTCGCAGCCTATTTCAACCCGTTGGACTGCTCCAAGCTGCTCACCACCGATCAGTACGACGAGATCCGGGTCTACTCTTCTTCTGATTGGTCGAAGCCTCAACATATCATCCAACATCCACACAGACAGTTCCAGCATCTCACACCCATCAAGGTCTGTTGGTTCTCTGGGTGTGTATGTGAACTTCTGTAACTTCTCCTGAGGGATGCATGTACGGCAAACAACGCAGGACACCGACATCAGGACATTCGTAGGTAGTCACGGACCAGACGGTATTTGGAGAGACCTGCCAGCGGAATCAATACGTAGGGTTGGGATAGTGATTGTGAACGCCGTTATTATTTTGTCCGTAGGCCACATGGCACCCTATCTATGACCTCATCGTGGCGGGCCGCTACCCTGATGACCGGGTTTTCCCTGGAGATCAGAGGACCATCGACGTCTATGATGCCAACACATCCGAGCTCGTGTGTCAGCTGCAGGATCCCAGCGCTCCAGGAATCAAATCTGTGAGTGTTTAAAAAAAAAAGTATACACCTGTTGGGCTTGAAGTCATTAACACAGATCTTTATTCACAGATCAACAAATTCAATCCAATGGGTGATGTTATTGGAACTGGAATGGGTGAGTTTTTTTTCTTTCTTTCTTCAAAAGCACCTTTTATAAATTTGATTGATCTTTTGCATAATTTGATCAAACCAACTCAGTGAATAGAAGTCAAAGTGTGTCACTTTAAGCTGCTTAATGCGTACTCGCAGGTGTGACGGCGCTGGTGTGGAACAGAGACAAGTCGTTGATCGGTGAGCAGCCCAAAGGGCAGGAGGAATCTTCTACCTCTGCAGGCAGTTTAAGAGGGCAGCAGAGGAGTCGGCAGCGCTCCAGCAGGGACGGGAGAGCTCCCGCTATGGATGCCAAGCTCAAGAAGAAACTGGCTTCTCTGGAAGAATCAGAGACCAAGACCGGCTGCACCAAACAAAAACCGACACGGATGAGGAAGAAGTAAACTGGATCTTAAACTGGAGCCCATTGTTTTTCTACTGTTCTATAATAAAAGTTTGTCATATTTCCTACGTGATTTGCTTCCTTTTTCGCCAATCTTTAACTAAATAATAAATAAGATTACTAAGATTACACATACAAAGATTAATGGTATGTGATTTATTGCATTGTTACATCATACAGAACGGCAGTTTTGGAATCATGCATAACTGAAGAGATAGTTTCCACGTAGTTCATAGACTGTGACGTTTGCCAGCTGGAGGAGCGCTTCACTCCAGGCCGCCTGCTCCTCTTTACTCTCCTGATGCTGAGCTTTCTGGGCAGAGAACACCATGCTCAGGATAAGACTGTCAAACTGATCCTGAGCCATTGGCCGTCTCCTCCTCTGACCCTCCAGCGTGGCTGCCGTTTGCAGCATGGAGCCGAGACTTCTGGGAAAGTTGTCATTGATCTGAGACAGAAAAGCCCGCCCCTGCCTCGTCGACGCCATCTCCTCGTCGAGCAAAACAATGTTGTCATCCCGGTCGATCGCCACCCCGCCAAGCAACAACTACACACAGGATAGAAAAATAGGAACGTATCACTAACTCTGCATGTATAACACGCCACAATATTTGATTTAGCTGCATGTAGAAATCTGTTCACTCCAAAATAAAAAAAAGTACCTCAAACATCAGGTTTGCATCAGAGACAGATGAGGATGTTGTTTCAGAAGTTGGTCTTGTGCCTGCAGTCGATTCTAAAGAAGGAAATACTGAAGTTTAACTAAAATAACTGCAGAAAAAGAAAAATGCAGAAACGATTTAAGTCATCATCAATGCTGACACCTGTTTAGTGCACATTGGTCAAGGAGTGCACTACACAACAACATAACAAAGTCTGTCCTCATTACAGTCCTATTAGAAGATATCTACTTACCTTGCAAAACAAACAGAATCCTTAAAATGACCCAAAGGCAGATTTGATGTTGTATTTTCATATTCATTCTTCTTTTAATCATCGCTGAAACTAAAACACTTCATCCTCCTCCCTCAAGCCCTTTTGTGAATGCAGGAAGAAACAGCTCAGCCTAAATACCAGTCATTTTTTCACCTCGGAAAAAAGGGCTGACAAGCCAGATGGCTGTGATGCAGAACAGAGAGCTATATCAAATAAATCCTGGATTTTATTTATCTCAGTAAGCAGAACTTTGAGCTAGCGGGACTTAAATTAACAGAGTAACCTAAAGGAAGTGCAAATAATAACCTTTTACCTGAATGATGCACTATGAGTATATTCATGTTGAACACAAAACAAAATACAAATACAGGAAGTCAGTATCAAATCTAATGAAATTAATTCTTTGGTATAATAATGTATTAATCTATTTTAACATCGAATAATTTCCCCCAATACGTACTTGTAGTTACGAAGTTCTACCACACGGAGGCAGCAGCTCGAGTTAAAACAAGCGAGCTCACGTCTGACCGATGAAGCTACCTATTTACTTCCGGTTCAGAGTTCATCTGCCTCTGAATAATAACAGAAGTGGAAACGGAGGTAAACGCGATATTTTATCTTTTCGTTTTTAAAGCGCCAGCGCTCTACTATCTCATTGCAGTGCTAATTGCAATTCCACTGCCACGTTATTCTGTTTTTTATCGTGACTCGAGTGGACGTTAGCTTGCTAGCTAGCTAGCCGCTGTGGGCGCTAACCATCTTCTAGCTAACGAGAACCGTAAACACAACAAAGCTAACGTTAGCTCCTCAGGCGCTAACGCATCCACATCTGTTTCGGCGTGACTGAAATTAAAAACCTACTAATTTTATAGCAGTACATCCACGCTTTGGATTCAACTATTTTTTGGATGGCAAACTAAATGCGACACACAGTCATCGTATCAGTTCTCATTAATTATAATAAACACCTTTCAGGATAATGCAACAAATCAATATGAAAGCTGGAGGGATAAACTTGCAGTGCAGACATGCCAACATTTTACTAGTTTGTTTATTCAGTACATAAAGTAGTTACTATCTGTCTTATATATTTATTTTACCCAAAAAGTGTTATTAGCCATCATATGGTTAGATTTCTTTTAAACACCCAATATCGTCATTTGTGTCGGCCTGCAGTGTCAGGACAGCTCTGGACCAGTGTCGTCAATAACTGAACATCGTAACTTGATTGTATTAGTTATTAACTTTACATATATTTCAAAATAGCAACTGTGTAAATGGATGTTGTGTTGTTTGGGGACTTTGTCAGGGGAGCAGCAAAGATGGAGTCCAGCGAGGAGGGGGGTCTCAGTGTCGGAGGCTCCGTGGGAGAGGACAACTACTTCCTGGGGTACACCTTCACCGATCGCTCCCACTCCAGCCGGGTGGTGAAGAGCATCATGGATCTGTGTTTGGAGGACGGCTTGTTCGCTGATGTCACCATCACCGTGGATGGCAAAGAATTTAACCTGCATCGGCTGGTGCTTTCGGCACAAAGCAGTTTCTTCCGCTCTATGTTCACTTCCAACCTCAAAGAGTCCCACAACCGCTGTATTGAACTGAAGGATGTCAGCGCCACTGTCTTTCAGTTGCTGATTGATTACATCTATCATGGCACGATTAAATTGAAGGTGGAGGAGCTTCAGGATACCTACGAGATGGCAGATATGTATCAGCTCACTGCACTGTTTGAGGAGTGTTCCCGCTTCCTCTCTCGGACAGTAGAGGTCAAAAACTGCCTACAGGTGACTCAATACTTCGGCAATACTTAAAATAAACTCATTCTTTTGTATCTGTTTAACGATTTGCCGTTCTTGTCCAGGTGATGTGGCTAGCAGACAGACACAGTGACCAGGAGTTATATACTGCAGCAAAGCATTGCGCTAAAATCCACCTGGTGCAGCTGCGTCAGACTGAGGAATTTCTCAATCTGCCTCTCTGTCTTCTCCTGGACATCATCAAAGGTATTAACCATGACTTATCCCTGTGTGCCATGACGTCCAAAACACAGTTTTCCCATCTGCTACAATGTTCTGTGTTATCTCTAATACTGCTAGCCAAACGGTCACAGCTAGCAGTGATACAACATATAATGAATGAGACCCTCTGGGCCTTGTGTTTGTGTCTAGATGGAGTTCCGAGCTCCCAGAATCCTACGGTGGCCATTGAGGTGTGGATAAATCACAACAAGGTTGAGAGAGAAGAGTTTTCTTGTATTCTTCAAGAAAATCTGAAGGTAACATTTTTTTCATCGGAGAGTGCTCTATTTTTTATTTCTGTTGAAATTCTATGTGTATAGTCTGATGTGTCTGTTGTACTTCCACAGGAAATCGGTGAGAATGTCCATATTTACCTGATTGGGAAAGAGGAGACGCGGACTCACTCCCTGGCTGTGTCGCTTCACTGCGACGAGGACGACGCGATCAGCGTGCGCGGACAGAACAGTTTGTGCCATCAGATCACTGCGGCCTGTAAACACGGAGGGGACCTTTACGTGGTGGGGGGCTCCATTCCTCGCCGCATGTGGAAGTGCAACATGCACACCATGGACTGGGAGCGCTGCGCCCCACTGCCCAGAGACCGCCTCCATCATACCATGGTCTCTGTCTCTGCTGAGGACGCTATCTACTCATTAGGGGGTAAGACGTTGCAGGACACACTCTCAAATGCGGTCATCTACTACACCGTGAAGGACAACGTGTGGACAGAGACCAGCCAGCTGGACACAGCGGTGTCCGGGGCTGCCGGTGTCAACTTGGGAGGTACCATCTACCTGCTCGGAGGGGAGGAGAACGACATGGACTTTTTTACTAAGCCTTCTCGACTGATTCAGTGCTTTGACACGGCCTCCCAGAAATGCCGGATCAAACCGTACATGCTGCCGTTTGCGGGCTGCATGCACGCCGCGGTGCACATGGACGTGATCTTCGTCGTAGCCGAGGGAGACTCCCTGGTGTGCTACAACCCTCTGCTGGAGAGCTTCACCCGCCTGCGCTTCCCTGAGGTGTGGAGCTGTGTTCCTTCACTGTGGAAGGTTGCCAGCTGTAATGGGTGCATTTACGTCTTCCGAGACAAATGTAAGAAAGGTGACGCGAACACGTTAAAGTTTAACCCGGCCACATCCGTTGTCTACGTTATCCGAGGTTTAAAAATCCTCCTCACAAACTGGCAGTTTGTTTTGGCCTAAACTGTCCTCTGGATGTTCAAACTGTGTTAGCAGGACAATCAGAATCAGACATCCGTAGATCTGCTCTAAATGTATTTGCTCAGCTGGTTTTTGTGTCACTCGTTCCATGTTGACTTCAACCTCAGACCAGTAGAAAAAGTTTGACGTTTATTTCACTTGCTCGTATTATTCCATTGAGTCATTGTTGGTTCCTTTAGCTCAGAGGACACATGATTTGTAGGAATTCTGTAACAAGTGGTGTACTAAGCGTCTACGTTTCCTGTGCACTGATTAGTTGTTGACATGCATGCACAGCTTCCGATTAAAAACTTTACCCAACATAAAACATTCTTTTGTATATGGTAGGTTCTTTAAAGTGTACGATGATGTTGTGGGTTGAATATCCTCTGATGTGCAGTTGGAAATAAATCCTGCATAAAGATGATTACGGAGGGTGTTTTCTAACTTTTCAGTTGTCTTGAAATAGTATTTTATGTTTACTACGTACACGTTCAAGTAAACCGTCAAATATATAGATGTCGATAGATGTCTTTATTTTCTTATGCATTAACTCCCCCATTAATACTGTGTTTATCATCAGGGATTTAGATCTTTCATTCTTGCAATCATGCAACCATGCATTTGTAACTGTCTTTATCTTTGGATTGTTAGTACATCTCGTGAATGCCGAGGTGGTAAAGATGTCTGTTTTGTCCTTGGGGGGGCGGGACGGGGGAGTTGACGGAGAGAAAGCTACTACAGAGAAGGCAAAACTTTGATCCCATTGATGTGTTGCAGGAGGCTGTGCAGCTGAAACCCAAGACCAGTAACATGTCAGACTTTGTGAACTATTCTAAGCATCGCTTGCTGACGCCAAGATGAGGGAGGGGGGGCACATGTGCGCCTCCATAAGAGCTCCCAATTAGAACAGAGCACCGTCTGACTTGCAGTCCCATTATTGAGGCAATAATGTCGTTAATAGCGGCTCACTGCCCCACGTGGGACCCGGCTCAGATCACTTTGCGGATGTGTTTTTAATGCTCAGGGGGGTTGTGATGTAAGTGAGGGAGGTTTAGTGCGAAGGTAGATCGCTAGGAGCTGGAGTGACCTTGGGTCTGCTTGTTGAGGGCAGGACAGAATTCCGGAAGGGACACGTGGTCCGGAGTGACAAGGCCATCTGCTGTAGCGCCAGCAGTAGCGAGAAGGTGGAGGGGGGGGGGGGGTGGAGAATTCCTTTCGCTGGGGCGTGGAGGGAGAAGATATTCTGGGATATCACTGCTAGCACTCGGTCTGGAAACCTTTTTTTCTTTGGCATTTTTCAAGCGCGAAACTGCCGGAGAATATTTGATGGTGAGGCGGGATCATTGCGGGTTTAAATGGGGAAGGTGTTTTCATTTATTTTTCCGGCCTTGCCGCGCTCCTAGAAGCGACTGGTGATAATGGTCTTGGTGTGTTGCCGTTTTATTTTGGCGGATTCAGTTTCCTCCCCATCTCAGCACAGCCGGAGCTGAGGGAGCAGGATCTGGTAGGCCGTCTGGCAGCGACCCTGTGGAGGATCATCTTGAAGGGATTTTCTTGGGAGTTGTTCAGCGCATGGCGAGGATCTACTTTCTTGCCGCCTCACCGAAATCGCATGGCCTAAACGAATGAATACTTTTATGAGGCGCCTTGCACCAGAGATGGGCCAGGACCAAACCAAGCAGCAGATCGAGAAGGGCCTGAGGTTGTATCAGTCCAATCAGACGGACAAAGCCCTGCATGTCTGGACTAAAGTGCTGGAGAAGACCTCAGATCCTGGAGGGAAGTTCCGGGTGTTAGGGTGCCTGATTACGGCTCACTCGGAAATGGGAAAATACAAAGATATGCTTAAGGTAAGCCTCCCCAAAAAATGGCAGCTACACAGAATTACTTTAGTTAAATTATATTGATTTAGACCATATCAAAATATATATATATATATATTTGGTTGTGAACGTGTCAATTTCGCCACTTTGTCAAAACAACCTTGTATTTTCTCTCCAGTGCCATCACATGTATGTACACGTATACATGTACGTACACTTTTGACTGGTACTGTATGTGTGTTCCACTTGCTCCCCTGTCGCCTTATATAAAGCTTCTCCAGTTGGCGCCGTAGTACATTTCGACAACGATTAAGTGGCCATTGAACAAGAACAGGTCAAAGGTCAGCCTCTTGATTCCATTTACAGTGATCTTGAGAAGCATGGGTTAATGTGTGGCTTCCACACGATGCAGAGTAAACGAGTGTCCTGCAACCCGAGCATCAGTGTGGGGTGTCTTGTTGACACAACCATCTGTACTCACGCAGCACCCTCTCTCTTTTAACTTTAGCTTTAGTGAGGACTTCATAAATCACCCGATGTCTTTGAATAAATCCATCATATCACCTTTCTTTTATTCACCAATCGATCTCTTTGCAGTACGCTCTGGATCAAATCGACACGGCCAGAGAAATGGAGGACCCAGACTACCTCACAGAGGGCTACCTGAACTTGGCGCGCAGCAATGAGAAGCTGTGCGACTTCCAGAAAACGGTGTCCTACTGTAAGACCTGCTTGAACATGCAGGGCACCACGGTCAGCCTGCAGCTCAACGGCCAGGTATGTCTCAGCATGGGCAACGCCTTCCTGGGCCTCAGCGTCTTCCAGAAGGCCTTGGAGAGCTACGAGAAGGCCCTGCGCTACGCACACAACAACGACGACAAGATGCTGGAGTGCAGAGTCTGCTGCAGCCTGGGGAACATTTACGTCCACCTTAAGGTAATTCTTTATGGGATCAACCAGATTGTTCTGAATGTGATGGTTTGAATGCGCGCCGCACTGTAAATACCACACTGCTGTCTTCGCTCAGCGTTGCCGTTTCCCCGAATGTCTTTAACAATATTCAGTCAAATTTAAATTATAGACAAGGGACTTGAATGAGAACTTTTCTGTTTTTATCAAACATTTTTGATTGTTGCAGACAATGTTCAATATTTGTATTTGGGTGAAAAACAAGAATTGGATTGCACGTGGGACGATTGTGCAATCAATACCGATGTTGCCAACGTATCTGCGGAGCGTGGTAACACCGCCAAGCTTCCGAGCAGACCTCATCAACTGTTAGCTCATGTGGCATTATGAAACAAAGGCGCAGTGAGCAAGCTGCCTGGCAGGCGGGTTATGTAGTGCCCTTAACATTTGTAAGAGTAATCCCTCGGCTTCCGAGGTAGGATTGTTTTTCAATGGGATGAAGCTGCGTTTGAAGAATTCACTCATACGTCACATTGTGTCATCAGAAGAAAACCTGCGTTTGCCTGTTAATGTTACTAGAGAGACGTATTTCCTAAATTCTCTTTTTTAAATGCGTTTTGTTTGAATGCTGTCAAAGGTTGAATAGTCATTGGAAGGAAATAACCAACCTAAAAAAAAAAACACTTGACCGAGACACTCTGGATCGGAGGTCTTATTTGTCGACATGTTCTGCCAACAGGACTATGAGAAAGCGCTGTTCTTCCCGTGTAAAGCAGCTGAGCTTGTCAATGACTACGGGAAGGGTTGGAGCCTGAAGTATCGAGCCATGAGCCAGTACCACATGTCCGTCGCCTACAGGAAGCTGGAGCGCCTGCCGGACGCCATGGAGTGCTGCGAGGTATTGTCTCTAAAAGCCGTCCAAACCGTCCTCAAAGTGTCCACTCAAACCCCACAAAGCAAACTTCGCATAGCTGGTCCCAGTTTTGCTTCCTCTCGATGTCCCTGTGCCCCCGATTGCTTTGGTTGTTTGGATGTCAAACGATATTTGTTGAAGACACATTAGCTGTTGTGCTGACAGGTGCGAGGGCCAGTTGTTCTGTTGTACCAGACCTCGACCGAAATATGCTCACAGAGGGGCTGCTTTAGAGTGTTAATGAAGCTTTGGTCCTCACTCTGTTCTAATTATGTACTGAGGGGGAGAAATAGCTTGACGTCATTGCCTTGGAGTGAAAAAGTAACAAGACCGCAGGAGGCATTTCCGATTTATTACTTTAGCCAGTCACATTTAGACGAACAATTTACACATGTGGTCATATATAGAACAGGAGGATACAAGAGTAATCCTCTCGCATCCTGCTTCTCGTTTTGCGGCATTTGTCAGCCTGGTTTATTTTAAAATATACTGAAACTGCTCAATGAAATAAATACATGCTATTTGTTAAAGCAGTTTAATGAATTATGGCTTTTCAGGATTCACTAAACACTTTTCATTATAAAAAAACAAATAAATGCTCTCATTCATTCATTAAATGTACCAAGGGAATATTTACTACATAGGTTTGATGCTGCTTGTTAATTTCCCATCAATAGCTTCCAGGAGAGCTTTGGTATCATGGACGAGTCCGACGTATCAATTTCTTCTCAGAAACCTCTTGTCTTTCCCGTCAACAGGAATCGATGAAGATTGCCCTGCAGCACAGTGACCGTCCTCTGCAGGCTCTGTGCTTACTGAACTTTGCAGACATACACCGCTGCAGGCGGGACGCTGATGTAAGAGGCCTCCCTCGTGCACGCTTGTTGATGATAAGAGTTTGTCTTGCTGAATTGTTTCCCTTTACTTTTTGTTGCATCTATATGCTGAGCTTTAGTTTCGTAATCCCCTTGATCCACCCAGAAAGCATTCCCTCGCTACGAGTCTGCACTGGGTATCATGACTGAGATTGGAAACCGTCTCGGACAATCTCATGTCTACCTGGGAGTTGCAAAGTGTTGGCTTCTGCAGAAAGAATTTGACAAGGTACCTGTTATTAAATCTGAATTTCAAGGGCATCTTTCTTTGGTGTATTCGTGTTGAGTGTCTGCCACTGTGTGTTGTTTTCCAGGCTCTTGATTCTTTACAGCGAGCACAGGAGTTGGCAGATGGGATGGGAAACAAGGTAACCGATGTTACACCGGACACAAGTAAAGTAGAGCAGCAACTATTTATCCATAGACAAGGCTAACAGAGTTGCACAGTTACTGCGTACAGGATGTTCCACGCAATAAGAAAACAGCAGACGGGGGTATTTTATGTCACTTTGGGATGGACACCTCAGGGATCTGTGTTGGGCCCTGTGCTCTTTCTTATCTAGACAAATGTGGTACAGTTGAATGCATATGTTTTGGGGAAGACGCACAAATATTTCTGTATACAGTTACAGACAAAGTAGTAGACAAAACCCATATAAATCCTATGTGAGATTTCATCTGGAATTTGCAGGGTTTTTTCCGCGGTAAAATCTATACAGAAACGACTTGGAGCGGTTCAGAGAACCAGAGACCGAATCCTTCAGCCCTTCACTGGTCACTGACGGCAGTCTTTTTCTCCTCCAGCTGTCTACGCTGAAGGTGCACTGCCTGAGTGAGGGGATTTATCGTGCCCGGGGGCAGCAGGAGGAGCTCAGGGAGCAGGTGGTGAAGTTCCTGCAGTGTGTGGAGGAGCTGGAGCTCTACTGCGGCATGTGTGGAGAGTCCATCGGGGACAGGGACCAAAAGCTGCAGGCCTTACCTTGTTCCCACATTTTCCATCTCAAGTGGGTGTTCTAGCACAGCGTGATGTTTGTCATGTGTGGCTCTTGATTTTTGTTGCCGGAGCAGGCCCAAGCAGTTGAGACTCCACTGTTTTTATCCTTTCAGGTGTCTGCAGACAAACGGCACCAAGGGTTGTCCGAAATGTTTCAAGTCCTCGTTGAAGCCTGGATTTGTGTGATGGCGAGCCGGCGTTTGTGCGTTGGATGTGCAGACGAAGCGCGAAGCCTCGCAGGCTCCTGACCGGGAGGAGCAGGCGGCCTCGGGAGGTGCTGAAGGTGTTTGAGGAGTAACGATCCGCTGCTCTGTGGAGAGGATGCTGAACTCAACCCAGTGTCGAAGAGCGCGGCTCTGAGGGCCCGATGTGATGTCGGCTGGCGGTGGAGGTACAACTGACTGATTTCAATACAAGCCGAAGAAGCACGAACCCACGTCGTCCCCGAGGACTCTTCATGTTGCAGGATTTCATTCTAGTGGAAAAAAGACCAGGTTTGTTGTTCCAGGTCTGATAATATCTTTGACACAACATCCACTTTCTCTTTAATCAACAGTTTTTTATTTTTTTTTGTATTTATCAGAGTACAGAGCCATTTCTGAATTTAACTGATTTCATACACGCTATATTTATAATTGTACATACCTTTGTCATGTTATTTTTCTTTTAGAGGTTTGATTTATTTGAGGTGTTATTTAAAACCTACAGCTAAAATCTCTCAACCATTCAAAATGTATCACGTATTCATCGAGTTTAAGGAGCCAGAACAACACACATTGTGTTCCTAGAAATTCCTTTTCTCTCCATGTTTAAAACTGACAGCAGCATAATATTGTCGCTATCTAAGGCGCATATTGTTTGAGAAGGAAACCTGTCGGGAAAGGATCTTCTTTGACCAATCACACATCTGACAGATAACCATTTAGAGAAGATACATTTTAATGTGGTGCTTTAAATTTACAGTTGAATGTAAATATATACCGAATGGTCAAATGTATTGAGATTATTTATTTGCAGAGGCATTGTAATCTTAAGGGGGTTTTGAGGGAGAAAGACAAAAAAAAAAAGAATTATCCCGTCAGATAGTGATGCATGTTTTTTTTCATAATGCAGGAAACAAAGGATTTCATCAAACTATGAATCCTTGTGGCTGCATTTTCTTATTTCAGAATTGTTTATTATAGGATTAGTTCATATTTAGTGGCTTTTACCATTCATATTCCTTATATATTTGTTCAATAACTTGTTCAATATATTCGAGTAATGTGATTTTGGGGGTAAAGCCGGTTAATTAATACTGTAAAGGCTTTATAGAGTTTTTTTTTTTATAAAGTAGGCTTTCCCTACAAAAGTAAACTCTCCCTTAAATGTATCTGTAGTGAGACTAGTTGTAGGTGATAAAATTACTCTTTTAAAACATAGATGTAGATGTGGCACACAGATAACTTCATTTGAGTGGTAAAAAAAAGTCAACAATTGCTGTTAAACCTTTTAGTTATTTCATTAACAAAGAAAAACATGTTTTCAAACTTAAGGAATATACATATTTTAGATTTGAAACATTTTTCGCATGTAGCTTTCTGTCACGCAAGAAGGATGACCGCATGAGAAGAGGGAGACCAACACATTTACTATTACTGCCCAATCCTGTTTTCACAAGCTGTGCATCCAAATAATGTTGTTTCACTCTGTTAATCTGTAGCACAGTCAATGTAAAACCTCTAAAGCAACGTTTTGTTCTTAGTTCTGGAGTAAAAATAAGATTTCACTGTCACTCGTCCACAATTTAAACTACCTCTGTTTTTCCTCTAAGCTTTCCGCTTCTCAGAGGAATAAATGCAGTAATAAAATTTAAGTACATGAGGTGGAATTATGTTTTTCTAGACGTGTTGATAAAACCTTTTAATGATCTAGAATGCATTGTTAATATATGTATGCATCGAGTCAAACCATGTTACTGTGTCAAATATGGAAGCATTTCAAAATGGAAAATAAAGTGCACTGAAAGTAAATAGAAGTCTATTCTGTGAACACGGCAGCAGAATGGCTTTGATTTCATTCAAGAGGACTTCCTTTACAACCTTCCTGTTCACCTGAAATACGGCCAAAATGTTTACAGAAATTCTGGTAATGGAAAGGATGCAGAGAATGTCCCGTGTGTCGCCCCGTGTCCCCTGGGGGGCCTAAAAATATCTCACGACCAATGTCAAGTGCAAAACACCATCAGGAATGAAGACGTTTGTTTTCTTCACGGCGAGAAGCTGGAGAATGTTTTGTCATAATGACCAGGATCCGTCATGTCGGCCACAGGTACAGTAAAGATAGAAACTGGTAAAATGACAAGAGGATTAACTGCATCATTAAAAATAGTTCTAAAAAAAAAAAATAACTCGATAAAAATCTCATTTGATCAGAATGGATTAATGTGGACTGAAGGACCAGACGGGGTTTAACATCTTGAGCTTAATCAGGATGAAAACTGCTTTCTTTGGATGCCCAAAAGGCCTTTGATAGCCTGGTGGAGATCATTGCTGCATTTATAGAAATATAAAATATTTCGGATTATAATGTTATAAACCATGTCATAGTATGCCACGAAGAGTATTGGTTTAGACATTTTAATTTGTCCTTTAAAAATGTTATAGAAAGACGTGTAGTATGTCGTCTAAATGTCATAGAGTATAAAAAGGCATTAAAAGGCCACTATAGAACTTCATAAAAAAGTACATAGAAAAGGGAATAGCATGAGAATTGTCATAGTGAGTGTAAAAATGACCAAAAAAAAGTTGGTGGGCAATATCAAAAAAATGAAAGTACGATTTGTAATAGAAAAAACAAATTATATTTTAAGAAAACCAATTTCTCCTGCACTGGACTCGTATGGAATATCATTCACTTTGTTATATTTGATCTATTCATCTTTTACCCAAAGATCTGACTGGGACTTTGTCCATTTAAAGTTGTGTTGTGGAGTCACGTAGCGGTTGCACAATCGCAGTCACGTGACTTAACAATGCAACGTAAACGTTACAAATTGCATTACTCTGTGCCTTAATAAGCCGATTTCAGTTCACCAAATGCAATGATCCAGAGCTGGAATGTATCGGAGACATCCTGATCAAATCTGCAAAGCATCTGGGATCACTTCAATGGGGATTTTGGAAGATGGCCGACTTTTTCCCATGTGGTAAGTTAGCAGACAGTGGCTTAAAGCGTTAAGAGTTTTTGAAATATAGTAGATTTTGTTTATATTTCCTGTTCCTGTCTCCAGGTCCAAAAATGGCACAGTAGAACTTAAAAGGTCTCAGAATAATTGACCAGTGTACAGAACAGCAGTCCTAGCTGACAAACCCTCACAATCTGCACATGTATGTGTGTGTTAGGAGCAAACCGCTTCACATCTGGGAAGCACAGCTGGACTGCCAGGCCAAAGACGGGTTTATAAAGACAGTTTATAGGAGCTGTCGGGATCTCAGATCCCCCCAAAGTTGGTTGATGAGAAGGATCGCGACACGTTAAATCAATTGAAGTCAAAAAGTTAACATTTGTTTTAGAAGAGAAAAAGATTACATGAGCAAATCTCCACAGATATATCTGGCCAATTATTGCTTGCCAGCAGGAGGTCGAAGACACCAGCACATATTACAGCGTTCTGTGCAAATGGCATCAACGAGGTCAGGACACAGCTGCCAATTAAAGGTTTTGTACCATCCTGCTCTTTGCACGTCAGACTCAAATGCAGACACTTGGTACACGGGTTTAGCACAAGACAATGTTATAACATATTTTACCATTACCTGCATCTCACAGAGCCCATTACAGTGGAAGAGTACTGTCCCCCTTAGCATGAAAGAGGGCTTGTGTCGATCTGTCCGACCGTACCAGTGAGACTCACAAACATCACACACGAGACCGTAGAGCTGAAGACGACTTTGTTTAGTCCGTACGACAGCAACAATTTCATTTCAACATTTCAGGAAATTTAGCAGCAAATTGTATAAATCCTTACTGCAGAGGTCACGAACTGGACCGCTGTACATTTTAGTTGAATAACTATCTTTGATTAAATAAGAGTTCAAACATTTGAATGCAAACTCCAGTTAATTTACAGAGCTCATTTGTCATCTAACTGTCATTTTCTTTGTTTTTCGGTCTCCTCTGCGATGACATATCTTTTAATTTAGAGTCCAGCTTCCTTTGCAGATAGGCCTTTTTATTGGGGTCCATGGATTTGTCTTTCTTCCCACTCCCTGCGTACAGAACGCCTTCTTTGCTTATTCTCATCCGAGCATGAGACTTTGCTTCATCCCCACAGCCGTGAACCTAAAAAAAAAAAAAAGGTGACGATCATGACGATCATAATATTCATACATTTACTCCAGAGTTAAAAACCTCCTTTTACCTGTGGGGCCATTTATCAATCCACATTGTTTTGGGGAGAGTTGAATTGGTTTTTATATTTACAATAGAGATTTGCCTTCTTGTGTTGTAGAAATCACGACCTGCGTGTAAAGATAACGCACAAAGCTCTTGTGCATCAAGCTATGCAGTTCCAATCAACAGCCAAGAGTCCCATTGGAAGGTAGACATTACTGCTGCGGATTACTCCAGAACGACATTATCGGAGTAACCGGCTCAGGATTCCTGGAAGGAGACGTTGCTGTTTGTACCATTTAGTGTCATTTTATTAGTGAGAAAGCAGCAGAACCACCGCAGAGATCTCCAAAACTAGTCAACTCACACCAAAAACATCTAGGTTGGTAATTAGCACGAGTAACCACAAAGTATGCATGTTATGGGTGAACTTTTACTCAATGCATAGCCAAGTACAGCACATCTCAGCACTGTCCATGTGTTCTTAATACAGCTACAAACAAACCAAAACCACTATTAGCTCGGCCGCTGTTCCCGTCCTACCTCTGGTATGTGATGACTGAGACAATACTGCCTGTTGCAGAACAGGCAAAGCTGTCCGAGCGTCCGCACAGAAGCTTTACACCTGACGAAGCTGCACACGCTCTCAGCCTTTATGACGGCGTCGATGAGTGCGTCAAAGTCGTCGTCCGGAGCGGCGGCCGCGGCGATGCCGCATGCGCCCGTCTTCACTCGGGTCTTTCCTGGGAAAGAAAATGGCAAGAGTTGGACAGCCGGATACACATTGGTGCAGACGGGTCGGGATAACGGTGCTCGGATCACAGACCTTTAGCGGACTTGGGCTTCTTCGACGACTGGGCCGGAGCCGGCGGCAAGTTGATCGGTTGCTTTTTTTGTTGAGCGTGTCGGTCTCTCTTCTGCTGCTCCCTCTCCATCCGCTCCAAATGTAAACGCTTCAGGTCCAATGGAGGTTGACACAGCGGTTCTCTTTGGGGATTGGGAATGGTTTCTTCCGGAGCGTCGTCATCTTTTCTTACTTCTACTTCTTCTCCTCCTCCTCCTCCTCCTCCTCCTCCTCCTCCTCCTCCTCCTCCTCCTCGCGGTGGCCTCTCGGCCGGGGCCGATACCGGAGGCCTGCAGACAGAGACACACCTCTGTTTACCTTCACCTTTACTCTCGTGCACGAGGCCCAGCTCCTCAGCGATCTGGTGCACCAGCAGGCGGTCGTGAGAGTTAAACGATGATGGGAACTGTAGTTCCTTCCGACTGGAGTCCTTCAGAAAGCCCTCCACCTGCGCTCTGATCTCAGCGCATCGGTTGTTCTGCTGCTGCTGCTGCTGCTGCTCTTCCTCCGTCAGCGCTGTGGCGGAGGACTTTGTGGGCTTCTCTGCATCGGCGGCATTCCCATTAGCGCAGCTACCCGGGGACTTCTTTTGTCGCGGCTTCGGCCGGCTCGGAGGCTGATCCCTAAGCTTCGCTTTGGCGGCGGCAGATGCGTTGGCCTTCGTGTCTTTGTGGTCACGGGTGTAGTTCTGCGGCACGACGTCTTGGATGTACTCAAATGCCGTTCTCACCTCGCCACACTGGGTCATATGAACGACGAGGGACTTGAGGAAAGCGTGACTCTGCACGGTCTGGCTGTCGCACACAACAGCCACGTGACGTCTGGCGCGCGTGACGGCCACATTGATCCTTCTGTCCTCCGCGAGAAATCCAACTTCCCCTGAAAAAAAAAAAAAAAAAAGGGATGAACACGTGCGTGAGGGATTGCCCGCACACAATCCCGTTGTGTCAGAAACGGCGAAGAGGTTACCTTTCCTGTTGGACCGAACCAACGACAGCACCACAGCCTCCTTCTCTCGGCCCTGGAATCCATCCACAGACTTGATCTCCAGCTCCGGATGCCTCGCGGAAAGTTTCTGACGCAGAAGATCGACCTTTGCGGATGTCACACATTACGATAAGAGTCAATTCGTTGGACCCCCCGAGAAACAACTGTAGGCCTTTTGATTTCAGTTTCAAGAGACATTTCAGAGTCTAGGACTTTTTTTTTGTTGTACAGCAGTATAAGTTGAGCTAAGAAACATTTGTACACTACAGTACCTCAAATCAGTGACTCACCTGTAGATTGTACGGAGCAATAACAGCGATGTCTTTGGCTTTAACTCCGGCTCCAGTCAAGGCCTTTATGTGCAGTTCAACAATGTCTACCTCACCTGGGGAAAGAGTCGAGTGGGGTTAGATCCCACAACACACCAAATGTAATGAAAGGTGATTCCTGGCTAGAAAGATGACTAACCCGGATTGCCTTTGGACTGCTCATCTGTGACCTCCATCTCACTCAGACCGCAGCCTGCAGTGTCAATAAGAAGAAGCGGCGTGCTGGTCTCTTCGACGCAGGAGACTCCTGGTAAATCTCTTTAGCATCGAAGCATAGTTAGCTCACGCGTCGACTATTCATCATTCACTCAAACACGAACGCGACGTACTTTCCATCACAGAGGTCACACTCACTTCAGCAAGTGTCTCTCCACAGAGCTGTGAGCCGTTAGTCTTCCCTGGTACATCTCTTTGGAGGCCCAACTCATGATGGCACTGTTCATGCGGTACTGAACGGTCAGCATACGGACCACAGAGTCGCCGTACATCTGGATGAGCCTCTCCATGAGGCTGAGAGACAGCCCGTTTGATGCAGCCCTGTGGGGCACAAAAAGAACAATAAGCAGGTCGAAGCCTCAGAGAACAAGATAGTTTACTTTATTTCATACGAGAGATGCCTGTGATGTGCGAGTGGACGTAGGGATGACATCACGTCGCTTCTCTGCACCAAAGAAAAACCAAATCGGATGAGTGGTGTTGACAGCTGCACTCATTAAAATGTAACAGGCCAAACATTCCAGATGAAGCAGATCAGCTGGATGTTTTTAAGAGCTTACCTCCAAGTTGTTTACAATCAAGCTTGTTTACAATCAAGAAACCTTTGAATGTTATTTGCATCTGGGTGAAATCAAGAAGAAAGCCTTTTTTACTTTTGCGATTTGATGGTAGGTGGTAACTGCTTGTAGTCTCCAGCCAGGACACACTTGCGTGCTCGGAGCAGGCCGATCCAACAGCTGCTCTCCAGCGCCTGAGCGCACTCGTCGATCACCACCCAATCAAAATGCTCCTCCGGCAGGAGCTTCAGGGGGCCGTCTCTGGACGCACCTGCAGACGCAGACAAGTGCACTCGATTGCCTTTCATCATCGCCGCATCGGGGGAATTACCGGTTTCTTCACTGAAGGCCAAAACGGACCCGTGTTGGTCGATAACACGACATCCGCACGTTTCAGGATCTGTGCCATGGCGGTCGCTTCCCTCGACTTCAGCTCTTTTCGAAGCTCCCCTATTTCTCTTTTGAAGTTCACCCGCTCGCCTTTTTCACGCATTTTCTTCATTCCAATCTTAAAAAAAAAAATAATAATAATTTTATATATATATTATAGTTTATACAAGTCAGTCAAGTGTCACACATGCCAGTAAGAACACACGCACTCAAGTACCCACAAATGCTTTATCGATGTCTTTACGGATATCAGCGATGATGCCGGCGTTGTCGCTCTGCGCGAGGATGGCGTCCAGCGAATGTTTCTGTATGGACTCCAGAAGTCGGGCAGGGTGACCCAGCCTGAGGACCTTTGCTTTGCACCGGGCTAACCGCTCCACTAAATTATCCACGGCCACGTTGGAGGGCGCGCAGCAGAGGACCTGCACAAACACAGCATCCCAACCTGTGAAAATCCCCCTGACTAGACTGAGATGACGACGGACTACGATGGAGCCAGTAAATACAACTTAATGAATCAGCAGTAGAAAGATATTTACACAAGGACTATTAAAAATCCCCTTTGGGCACCTTTTGGCCTTGTTTCACTGCTTGCAGGATGATCTCCACCACTGTGGTGGTTTTCCCAGTGCCCGGTGGTCCATGAATCACAGCCACTTCTCTCTGAGACAGCGTAAAGGACACGGCTTCTCTCTGAGAGTCATCCAGGTTGGAGTTAAAGAATTTAACCTCATCTGAAGAAACAAAATAGGATACCGGGAATTGTATCAGGATTATACGATTCATGCAACGGTTTTAAATTACCATAGTATACCTTAAAAAAAACATCACAATTTAACTTTTTATTACATTTGCTTTGTAAAGTGTGGCCCTACTTGTCTGTGATTGATGAGACGGTTTTGTGTCTCCAAAAAGAACGTTTATCAGATTGGCAGCTGGTCCATGGCTGTATCCGTTCAGTGTGTTCAAGGCACTGCAAGAAATATCAGACAGAGAAAATAAGATCTTTCAAGATTTCATAATTCCCTTGTGTCCATTTAACAGAAAAAAAAAACCCACTCACTTCTTCATCCGTTTGTAGGTGACGTCATTTGCCAACTTTAAGAGGTTGTGAAGCGCATCCGTATCAAACCTGAGGCCGTCCTTTGAGTCGTCGAAGGCCACGCTGATGGACGCCTGGCTGACCCTCGTCACTATTCCTGTGCCCACCTGTGAGGCGGGGGTGCACCCACCGGTGTCATACAAGCCCACTATGTCCCCTGTAACGAAGACATGCATGTCCCATTAATCTACACGTGAAGCCGACGTCTCGCAGAAACACGAGGATTGGACGTTTAATTCTTCCATCTCACCGGGTCCAAAGCTGTTGCTCGGCAGAGAGGAGAAACCAAGATGCTTCCTCGGCTCGAGGATGATTACCGTGCGACCGTACAGGCCCGTGGACTGACTCCCGACCTGCAATTTCAGCAGGCAAACTCCTTTATTTTGAAGATCCTTGAGAGAGATGTTCTCCTGCCATATCCTGAAGACAAAAAAACCCACAACACAGTCATTTTATGGTGCCACTGTAGGATGTGTAGGATCCTTTGTTTTTGGAGCTTAACCCACGACATTCATTGAAGAGCTGAATCAAGGAAAGTATCACAGTTTGGATGATGTTACATTACATACCTGGTCTCCTCTATTTCCGCCTCTCTCTCCTCCTGTAGCAGCTCGAGTGTCTTTGACACAAACTTTTCAACTGCCATCGCTCACTAAAAAAATAATCAGAATTATTACTTTCATAGAGTACATGCATTTCATGATACTTTTCACTGAGAGAGCCACAGAGACAAATACTGCATCGTTTACTCCACTTTATTTGTTTTGTAATTTACGAGTGATGAAGAATCCAAATGCGCAGTATAATGTTCTATTATGCTTTATTAGCATGTAGCCAGGGTCAGGGACGTACTGGGACTGAAATTCAGCCCGGGACTTTAAGACGGAGAGGCCTTTTACGCGAGTGCCCTTGGTGCACGAGCCGGATGTTTTGCAGTTATTTTCATTCTAAAAGTGTTTTTATGGTATAAAGACAATCAGATTACGCTTAAGACCGTCAAGAAACTTTAGGATAACACCTGCCTCCTCAGGTTGTATAAGCAAGTCACCACTGCACGGAACACAACCAGGTCAGCAAAACCTCATCTCAAACACATAAGTCACACAGTGTACTGCTAACTACCATCATGTCATGTGTATAGTCAGTCGGAGTGTTACAAATACTCACACCCACTCATACTCAAAAACTACAACGTCATTGCGCTTCACGTTAGCTCGCGCACCACGCAGCGCTCTGCCTTTAGCGTTACGGCTAGCAAGAAGAGCGACACCCACCTTTTAAGGCTGAAGTCCGTTAGATTATCGGTATAGATAATAGCAGCGGGTGTTAATCACGCTCAACAAGTTGTTAGTCTGTTCCTAATGTCCTCTATCGCATAAATTATAGGACCAGTGTGTGGTGTTGTCTTCTTTCATTATTCTACCTCGTCGAACCGCAGCGGCCCCTAACGGCTCGGAGGATTGCTTTTATCTTCGTGTTTTATTTTGAAAAACCCACAACGCGGAAGTTATCTTCGACGCTCCAGAAACACTTTGATCGAAAGTTGTCAATCAAACGGGCAGGAAACCCGCTCGACAGTCAGAAGCGGGTCGTTTTTTCTTCTTCTAATTGTTATGTGTCTGTGGTGTGAGGGGAGTCACTGTGGCGCGTGTGAAGCAGCGTATGCTGGTGTTTAATCGAGCAGATCTTTGTCCGGCAGGAAGCGGCCGAGTCTGAGCTAACCCGTTTTAGATTTCACCGCTTCACAACACTCCTGTTCACCGCTCTTATTTGGAAAATGAGAACGACGTTATTCCTGCTGCATGCCATCTCGTGCACCTTGTTGGTCGGTGCCACTCTTTCAAAAACGGATTCAAAGAAGTCGCACAAAGCTGATGCAGAGGTGAGTGGAGTTTGTGTGTTATACCTCCATTCTCTTTTCCATCAAACCAGTGAGATGTTTTCTAAATGTTAGTTCACATCATATAAAAGTCACCGTTTGCCCGGCGCGTTAATGGACTGGTCCGGACTCAGTAGGAGGCCATCGTCGGGATTATATACATCTGCTCATTCAATTCAATGATGACGTGTGTGGCCAAACTGTATGTGTGTATTTCTGTCATTAAAATGTGCCTTTTTCCCTTTTGATCTCACCGTTTCAGACCTCTCTGGCTGAGCTGTCCGTGTTGGAGAGAGGCCTCGTTGTGTCACACCCGTCCTGGAAAGACATCGTGAAAGAGGAAAAGAGATACTGGGCTCAGATCAAGAGAACCTTTCAAGGACCGGTGCTTGGATACGTCACCCCTGTAAGCCGCCGGCTCATTTGATGCTTTGATGAGTACATTGGAAATGTTTTGTCTGTGCGCTTTTCTTCCTCGAAGTACTCGATGTTGTTCAGTGCAGAAACATATTGGCGTTCAACGGACACGAACGCAGCTTCATCTCCAAATCTACTCTTTTTATAGCAAGACACCCTCAATGTGTTTTATCAGACCGTTACTCTTCAAACTATTGGTTTATTGATTGATTCTGAGAGGATTAATTAGTAACAGCACCGAAATGAATTCATAATTCACCACCCTTCAAGCACAAAATACATGTCTCTGCTGATGTTAGGTTCTTTCATCTGCTCTATACGATGGTACATTTAGTTTCGTTGGTTGTTTTAGCTAAATATCTCTAAATGACCGGTCTTCTCTTTCCACATCCTCCAGTGGAATTCCCACGGTTACGATGTTCCCAAGATGTTTGGTCCTAAACTAACTTCGCTGTGTCCAGTTTGGCTTCAGCTGCGCCGGCGGGGACCTGAAACATTCGACGTTACAGGTCTCCACGATCACGATCCAGGTAAAGGACGCGGGTCACCGACGGTCAGATGGAAGTGGTTTTCTTCTAATTAATGTACATAAAGGTCTTTTTTTTTTTTTGGTCTATCCAGGCTGGGTCAAAGCCGTACGCAAGTCTAACAAAAAAGTCCGGCTGGGTGAGTCGACGCGCACAACTCTGATCCTTTCCTGCGTGCGAGGGTTTGGTTATTCATGCCGAACGCTTGCTTTCCTTCACCCGCAGTCCCTCGCCTGTTATTTGACGGCTGGTCTTACCAGGACTACGTGAGTGTTCTGGGGAGTGAAGATGAGATCGAAGAGCTGGGCAGTGAGCTGGTGGATGTGGCGAAGGTAATTCGGCGTTAGCTTAGCGTAGCGCGGCGTGTTGGTCCCGCGTCTTGTCTAATGAAGCTGTGGCCCCTGCAGACGGAAGGTTTCGACGGTTTCACGTTGGAGTTGTGGAGCCAGCTGGGAGGTAACAAAAGAAAGTGAGCGCTCCCGTTGACACACCATCCACGCGTCACACTTTTTCTCTTGGATGGAAATACAAATGATACGATACGGGACGTCTCCTCCATACAGGGAGCTGGTCCACTTGGTGAAACACGTATGCGAAACTTTGAAGGCGAAAAGATTAGACTGCGTTCTTGTCATCCCGCCGGCCGTGACGAGGTAAAACAAATGTGTTTTCTTTCAGCGCCTTTTTTATAAAAACCAAACATTTGGAAGAGTACGCCTACATTTTTTCCCCCCATCTCTGTCAGTGAGGGGCAGCCGGGTATGTTTGGCATGGAGGAGTTTGAGCAGCTGGCCCCTGTAGTGGATGGATTCAGCCTCATGACATACGACTACTCGAGTGGTGCCAGGTGAGTGTTTCGCACGAGTAGAGCGACCGGCCGCTACAGGAAGTCGCGCAGCATTAATGCAGGCTCCTCTTGTGCGTTCGACAGGCCGGGCCCCAGCTCCCCTCTGCCCTGGGTGAGGGACTGCGTCCTGCAACTCGCTCCCGACATCCGGTGGAGGAAAAAGATTCTGCTTGGACTCAATCTGTATGGCCTTGATTTCGCAAGTCAGGCAGCAGAGCCAATCCTGGGAGGAAGGTAAGATAGTACTGTGGCTGCTGCTGGAATACTTTATTACGTTTTGATTGGCTTCAATCTGATACAGCATTGTGGGACTCCTGATGGATGTTCTTTAAAGAAAATGAGAAAATATTGCTGGGATATTGGGAACCGCTAACACTTCAGTTGTAGGTTTTGGGTTTGTTATGTTCATCATAATCAACCAGGCTTCAAATGTCTCCAGATCATTAAGTCTGTCAAATTCCTTCAAAGCCCCTAATGAGATGATTTTGAGAAATGTTAGGATTTGAATAGAAGAAGCTAAGTAGCAAAAAACACAAAAACTTAATTATTTATTGTTTATTTAATCTGACAAAAAAAAAAAAAAAACTCTTCCAACTCTGCAAAATTGCACATTTCGGTTAGACGAGGAATAGCGCGAAGAACAAGCAGAAGGCCGAGGGAAGGAAATGTCTGAACAGGATCTTAAATGTGTCTGTTTTCCTACAGGTACATTGAGATTTTGCGAGAACACCGGCCAAAACTTCTCTGGGACGAATATTCTGCAGAGCATTATTTCACCTACAAGAGGTACTGAATTACAGCTTCATCTTACTCTTCTCAGAGAATATTTGACCAATATCTAACATTCATTTCAGGAGCAATGCAGTAAAGCATGTGGTGTACTATCCATCATTGAAGGTAAGTATTCTGCACACAGTGTTTATTATGCTCACCGCTACATGGGCAGGTTAACATTGTTATTCACTTCTTTGCAGTCGATCTACATGAGGATCTCTTTAGCCGCTGAACTGGGAACAGGAATTTCCTTATGGGAACTAGGACAAGGACTGGACTATTTCTATGATCTCCTATGAGAGTTGGACTTGATAATGAAGGATTTGGACCAGCAGCACATGGATTTGACAAGATTGAGCACCCAAAAATTCCGGAGCCTAATGCCGACATCATTTTTCTGTATTTGTAAGTTTGGCTTACATGAACTGTGAAACGACCCGCAGGACTTAGTTAATACTCAACCTGTTTGAGGGTCATTGAAAGTGTTGAGAAATCTTCTCTGCATGAACCAATGATTAATGTTGACTCAAACGATACGAGCAGCGGACACAAGGTACTTCAGCATGTTTTATTCCTTATCATTGGTGGTATTTTTTTAGTCAGTTTAGTGCAGTGAGTCGTCCCTTTAACAACAGCGGGTGCATGACCATCAACATGTAGAACGTTTAAATGAAAGGTTATATTCTTCTCTTTTCAGTCCAACGCTTCTGCTGTTTTGTTCTCCACTTCGCACATTTCTGCTCCCCGAAGCAGCTTTGCTTGCTGTGGAGGTGCATCCTTCACTGCTTTTTCTCTCGTATTTGTGAATCATGACATTTGATTGTGTAGCCTTTTCTTGTTTATAACAGCATTGAGAAATGAGAGTTGCCAAACATCTGTTCTGACTCGGCTTCTTCCAATATGTGTCTGAGATAAATGTTTGTTCAATTACAGGACTATAAATGTGGAACAAGCAGTTCAATAGGAGTACTCTTTATGTAAAACCTCTTTATTTGGCACTAGACAGCAAGATCAGATTGTTTACAGCAAGTAAGGTTGACTGCATATTCTGGCCAGTTATCAGGTGTCTGTCTATTACCACATGCACAGCATCTTCTTGGCTTGCTGAAAAACAAAGATACACATGGGAGAATTTTGGAAATGCTCATTAAGTTTTGACCAAATGATTAGCTCTGTTCTACAAGATCACCTCACCTGTGTATGATCCACCGCTGTCTTTCACAAAGTCTTCCACCACCAAGGGCAGGTTGGCAAAGTCAGGCCTCCGCACCAGTTCAAACACTGAGGGCTTTCAGCAGAAACAAGTGACTGTTATTACTCACAACAACACACAAGATATTTGGGTTGTTCACTGCAGGAAGACTGACCCCAGTTAAGCTGTAGCCGTCGAAGATCCACCGCTGCCCCTCAGTGGCACAGCACAGTGCCGACACGCCTTGTCCCACTGCACAAACCGGCTCTGCACACAGAGACAAAAACACATCTCCACACCATCCACAGGGACCAAAGGCGCGCTGCTTTAAGAAGGTCTCACTCACTTTGGTGAGCGATGAAGTGCGTGAGGATGCGGTGCAGCGAGCCGCTGTGTGCCAGGTCGTTCAGCGCTCCGGGACAGTCCGGGAGGAGCAGCACCTGGTACCGAGCACCTGCAGAGACCAAGGTCACCGCGAGTCCAGCCAACAGCGCTGGTCGAAACTGCCAAATGGCCGCGGAATAAATGTCCTCACCATCTACGGATTCTAGTTTGGCTGGTGTCGCGTAGGGCTTAAGGTTGAAGTCCTGCACCCATCGGGCAGTGCTTTCATCAACTCCAACAAAGTCCATCGGCTTCCCCTGCGATTAGGAAAAAAAAACACTGAGTAAGGTGCTACTGATGCTAAACTCAGGTTAAAGACTAATCTAAATGTTAAATGTATATAACGGCGGTGATTTGAATCACTGTTTGCATTATAACCGCCAGGTCAGCTGATCTGACAGTAACCGGAAGTGAGGGATGCTGGGTTAGAAAAACAAATGAACGGTTTGAACACTAGATAAACATTTTCCTTTTGGTTGGGAATAGTCTCACCCCAGGAGTGGCTGTCTGGAGATTAAACACGGAGGCGACCAGGCTGAAGGACTGATGGAAAGACGCTGCCGACACTCCTGAAGAAAACGAAACACAACTTTAAACGACAGAAAACGTGGCTGCGCTGTGAAGACAAGCTAGCTAGCTAGCTAGCAAGAGATGGGAACCAGAGCTACAACACAAACAAATTAAGAAATAACGTTAGCTGATCTCTAATTAATTCAATGCTAGATTATAAGCAGTCGATGGTTGTAACGCCACGTCAAGTGGCACGAAGTAATGGACCCACCTTGAGGAGACGCACTCGCCACAATCAAACACGTTGGTTTAGCAGACATTTCATCTATCTTCTTGTTCCTTCAACAACAAATGTGTTTAGCCGTGGTTGAAATTATTGACGAGAAATCAGAGTGAAATCGTTGAATAGAAGTCCGCATTGAGGAAGTAAATGTCACCTGACAACAACATCCGGTGAAAGATTTCAGAATAAAAGTTCCCTGCATTCAATACGATCACGTTCGGAAAATATAAGCATTTTTATTTGCATTTCAGCAATCAAAATATATTTTTTATATATTCATTATTTGATTATAATTTTTCTTAAAATCATGATACATAAAAAGGATAAACAAAAGAGACAAACACTTTTGGCAAACTATTGCAAATGTAGCCGAAGCATTCCCATATTTCTCTGCTCTTTAAAATGTATTTTTGCCAATTCAAACATCATAATCTTAATAAAAAAGATATAAACAAATTTCAAAGCATGCAATGCTGTTTTTCAGAATAGAACATTGCTGCCCAGCAGCATCAATGCATCTGTAGTGTGCAGGTCTTGAAATTGATCATTTCTATAATTTAAGTTAACATCTTCACAGCATCCAGATTTGTATGAATAACTTGGCTGATAACAAGCTAACCTTTTACAATTTATGAAGTTGCAAATTTAGCAATATTAAAACAAAGTAACAAATCAGTAGGGGTCTTCTTTCAACTTTTGATAAAGGCAGCAGGTAAACATCATCCCCACAAGCTGAAATAAAAAGAAAACACGCACTTGTTATTTCAAAAGGTCACATGAAAACAACCATTGTAAAAAGTTCCACTGCTGCCATTTTCATAACATTAAAAGAGATCAACTTGTGCTTTACTTGGGGATTAGTTCTTTACCTGTAGGAATGCAATCCCAATGCCCACTGCGCCGATAATGTACAACTGGCTCAGGATGAACTCCTCTAATTTCATAATGCAGCCTCCCTGTGGGGCACAAGGGAGGAGATAAGGTAAGAAAAGATACCGTTTGAATTTATAGTCTATCCACAGCCAAACGGACATGTCTCCTACCTCCACCTTGTAGATGTTGGAGGGGTGGTCCCGCAGCCCGCAGAGGGCACTGGGACTTTTACAGCAGCTGTCTGGAACAAGCCGCTCGTTCCCTGCGGACTGGATCCACACACTGTCTCTCCAGTCGGAGGAGTTCTGACTGCCGCAACACTGAAACTGAGAGGAAAGAGAGAAGAATCATGAGGCGATGGTGATTAACACTGATAAACGCTAAAGGAGCCAAACTGTCATTTGTCAATTCCACTTAATCTGATCAAGATGTAATAACCTAAGTAGTTATATAAGTAGTAGTAGTAGTAGTAGTAATGTAACTTTTTTTTTTTATCATCCCAGCCGTTAACTCGCCTGTGATTTAAACATTTAGTATCACGTGCAAACCTCCTGCTGAAGTTTATCCACAGCACGTGTGATGCTCTCCTCCCCTGGCTGCTGGTATTTCTGCTGCATTGTCCCCTTAAGATTCTGTCTCAGCTCTTGGTCCAGCTGTGAGACAGAAAGACGCACTTTAGTGGTTACGCAGAAGAAAATCGGGTATCTAATAATCTCCTCCAATCAAAAAGAAAAAGCAACATTTCTCTGTACCTTTGCAATACATGCACAGAACTCGTGACATATACAGTATATATTAACAAACACTTGTTTTGTTGCTTGACTAACAAAGTGAAAAAAAAGCATTTACATCATCAACCTGTTAGAGAGACGGTTTGAAATGAAATGGAAACAGGCGGCAGGAGATTACCTGATAGCAGAAAGGGAAACACTGGAGCGAGAAAAGGAAGGAAAAAGAGGTGTGAGGAGGGAAAATAGGACAAATGAAGAACAGGCACAGAAAGGAATGCAGAGAAGTTTTTACCACAAAAAGAGTGCAGCAACTTGGCTGGTAAATAAAATACATAAATAGAAATGACAGAAGGCAAGGAATATGTTAGAAATAACATTAAGGGATTGTGGAATGACAAAAATACACATTAAGTACATTCAGAAAAAAAAGAAGTGTGTGGTTTGTAGTTGCTGCGGTGAAATTGGAAATAAATAGTGGTTAGACGTTTAAAACAATTAGTGTAGAATTACACACCGTATGAGAATTTACAGGGAAATATTTTTCTGGAAAATGATATTGTTTGACTTATATCTGTCATTATCCTTTGGTCAGATATTTGAAGACTGAAAAAACAGAAGGTAAAGCACTTCACCTCTTGGTAGGTAATGTAAGCCAGAACACCAGCGATGACTTCCAGCAGGAAGATACAGAGCAACAAGACCAGATACTATAATGGAATACAAAAGAACGGAGATGTGTATAAACTTGGGGCAAAAAACTGCATTTACATTTTTTTTAAGTCAGTATATCTCTGCTAAAATATAAAAACGTATATAATATTGAAGTAAACATAATGTCACAGAGCTTGAGCAGCTTTGCTGTTTTTAGTTCTCTGCATTAAATCCTCCCACTTGCGACTGTCTCTCTCACGCACGTCCAAGCAGCCGCCAGCGATGCCGTTCATTCCTTGAGCATGAGCCGCACTCTAAATCCAAACTCTTAAAGATACACTCACTGCATGGTTTTACAGTCATGCCTGTCTGACATAATGAGCAGGTGACAAAAGGGCACCAAGGATTACCTTTGCAAACACAGACCAGGTTGTGTGTGTGTGTGTGTGTGTGTGTGGACAGGAACTCAAAAGGGCCTTTCCTTGGTGTCTCATTCCACATAATTGAACGGGGTTAATGCTTTAAAGGAGTCTGTCACGGGGCAGCCTTTTTCTATCTTATCCTCATCATCCTACCACGATCAGCAGACTCTTCATCTCCTTGAGAGTGGCACAGCATCCGATGATCCCGGTCACTATCACGATGACCCCGGCGGCGATCAGGAGATACGCTGAGACCGAGTACAAGCTGGAGTTCAATAGACTGATGTAGTCGCTCTTTTCCACCATAGTCCACACTCCCACCGCCAGCACGGTGCCTCCTGCCAGCTGGAAGAACAAAGTTATCAGCTCGACTCAAGCCAGACGCCGAGATCAAGATTGCAGCACGTTCTTTATTTTTTTTTTTTTTTGCAGGCTCTTAAAATGTGCCAGTGATGCAAACAAGACAACGCCTCACTTTCTCCCTGCCATGCGTCAGTGTGGAAACTTGGTGATACAACATTATACAATAAGAATCAGTAAAAACTTCAGCTAAGAAAGAGAAGAGTTTAAAAGAAAGGTTAGATTTAGATACGTCGTAACTTTCTGTGCGTTGGTAACACAAAATTGTGCTTTAAATGTAGTTTACGGAGACTATACGGCACATTAAGGAATACATTGTATGCAATAGTGAAATTGTGGACGTCGTGAAGTTACTCCATGCTGAGAATCTCTGGCATCTGAAGCTTGACATGTCAGCCAATAGAGCTCTGAACACAGAGACTGTCGCCTTTCATACACATGATTTATTTACTTACCCAAAAGAGAATATTAAAGAGAAAAAGTAGATATTTCAGACAGATTGTCCCACAGCTGAGGGATTTTTCACCTTGAGCTTCCATTCTAAAAAAAGAAAAATGTACATATATTTTTATTTTTATTTTTTTACACTCAGAGAGCGCTTTACCACATTAAATACTTTCTGGAGAAGATTTGACATCAAAGCTGAATCCGTTCCTTCAGAATGGAGACGAGATGCTCAGAGAGCAGCTCAGACCCTCCAACACAGATTTCATACAAACAGCCAGACTCCAATCATACAATCCTCCATCTCCTCTATACTCGTAGCTCGTAGTCAGCTGGAGTGTGAAGAAGTCATTTGACCTTTTTGTAACACGTTTTAGTTTTGGGTGATTTTAAACAATGAGCAAAAAATAGAATACAGGCCATTTCAAACTTTAAAAAAGCTGGTTTAACAGCGAAATGGCACAAGGGCAGAGATTAAATCAAATATGTTTTGAGGGAAACATACTTAAGAACTTGTGTCCCGTGTCATCCAGCAGCCAGATATATATTTCCACCAGCCCAGTAACTTAACCTGATCTATTCAAATCCTAGTGATATGCTGCCAACTTTTAACTCTACGATATGAATTCAAGGTCTATGTCTGTTTTTATCCTGCTTTAAATTTCTATTCCATGAAAGGTCGGCGCACCAAGCATCATGAGAGAAGTTGATTTTAGTTATTTCAGTGAACACAGAAAAACAAATCAGGAAAAGAGTAAGAATAAGTTACAATAACTAACAAAGGAATTCAACACATTCAAATGACAAGACTCTTTTCCAGTTATGTGACAAACTACTCCGTGGGGAAAGTGACTGTCCAGCAGAAAGAAACAACATTTCTCCTGACGGTCACAAGAGTTATTTTTAACTCATTGTGTCATGGAAAAACTGCTCTCCCTTTCCGCTGAGACTCAAATACTCCTACCTGATTTCAGAGGGTGGCCCCCGAAGGATGTGGTTTATCGAGGTAATGTCTTCCCAGATCCTACTGACCGCCGCTGAAGGTTAACTGCGACAGCGTCAGTTCTCAGTTGACGCTTAGATCAGCGTCTGAGGGTCGCTCTTCTATTGGCTCAACCGTCGGCTCACACCGAGTGCATGGCTGCCCCCAGCTGGTTTCTCCTGTGCAGCTCGTCAAATATTGTTCAAAGAACCTCAAAAAAAAACTATGGAACAAAAGCGCCATGATAAAAAATATATTTATTTGATAGATTGTACAGAAACATAACATAAGAAAACATTACTGATACTGTTCAGTGAATTTGTTCACAGAAAGATTCTGATGTCGGTGTCATCAAATATTTTAAGTGACCTTTGGGCTGGGAGCTTATGTGAAGTCTTTCAAATGCCTTTTTTTTCTTGGTTTATGTGCAGCAGCCTCTTTTTTCCATAAGCTCAGTCAGTAAAAGAGCATCTTCACATTGCCGATCATGCTGGGAGACTAACATCCTGAAAGGAAGAAAATGATTGAGTAATAGCGCGGCAGAAACCACAATATTAGTTGTTTATATAATTGATGCTCCTGCCTGGCTTCATCTCAGGTTTGTGTCAAAATATCATATGAGATGCATTAAAGGTATTCATAACAAAGAAATAAGATGCCATACCCGGCCAGATAAGCCATCAGCTCCTCCACGTTACATCCGGTCTTTGCACTGCACTCGTAAAACAGAGCCTGGTGCTTCTGTATAAAACATATTATTTCATTTATTTCAAAGCTAATGTTCCTTCGTTAGCAAGGAAATTGTGAGTAAACCACTCTGGAAAGTGGTTTGAATATTCAAATGTGCCTTACATCTGCGAGTCTCTGGCCTTCCGCTGTTTTCACTTCTCTGCTGTGACCTTCTGCCAGGTCCAGCTTGTTCGCCAGCAGCATCAGGACGGCACCGTCACACATCTTCTCCTGGGGAAGACACTTATTAGTGCGGAAAAATGTGGGGAAAAAAGGTGAGAAATGCGATCATATTATTTTCCTAGACAACCGAAAATAAAAATCCAAATTGAGCATCAGCGTCTATGGATCATCAATCAGACGCACGCATGTTCAAATTCGTTGGATAGTGTCGGCGTTGCATACGGTTTTCTCTCTATTGCATCTCCACCTGCTCACCTTCACAGAGTCCATCCATGCTCTCACAGCTGTGAAGGACGAGGTTTGGGCTACGTCATACATGGCAAGGATAGCGTCGGCTTTGCGGTAGTACTGCTCAGTTATGCTGCGAAACCTAAACAGGATTAAGAAAAGAAAAAAAAAAAAGAATCATTACACCGAAAAAAAAAAGGCAATGGAATCAGAAGGTATGTCAATTATGAAAGGCCATAAAAAAAGGCCGGTAAACATGTGAATAAACTGTGATACATCTGACCTCTCTTGCCCTGCAGTATCCCACAGCTGCAGGGTGATGATGGTGGAGCCCAGAGTTAAAGTCCTCATCTGGAAATCAATACCTAGAAGCAACGTGGACCCATGATGCCATACATGTATAGCTACATACTCAGTGAGGAGCACCTTAATCATTGTGGTAATAAGAGAAGAGTTTACCGACAGTAGCGCTCATTTTACTGCTGAAGCGTCCTGTGCAGTACTGCTGGATGAAGGAGCTCTTACCGACCCCCGAGGTGCCCAGGAATACCACCTTGAACACCCGCTGAGGACTGACAATTGTTCTCTGAAGTTCAGGTAAAAGGACCAAACTCAACATTATGAAATCTGAGTCCCGTTTATGTTCTCAGCATTTAAGAGGATGCGACTTTAATCTGTGCTCCATCAATGCTCTTAGGATACTATTTTCATCATGACGTTGCTGCAGTGAGTTGGGATAAATGTTAATTGAATATGTTCCCTACCTGAGTTTGCACCTGTTCAACGTTTTCTCTGACTCTACGTGACGGTTGGTGTCTCTTGGATGAGTTTGTGACCTCTGTGTCTTTGTCCTGCTCCAACTCATCCGATGAGCCCAGCTGTCTTCAGGACCAACGAATACACAAAGTTAGTTGCTGTCTGTGGTGATCTGCGTTGCATTACTGCAAAAATGGTTTATGTGATATCAAATGGCGTCATACAAACCTTTTCAGTAGCTTTTCTTGCAGTAAGTAGTTACCTATAATTGACCCTTTCTTCTGCAAAGGCTTTGTGACATTTGGATTCTAAAAGTTTTTGTGGGAAGTGAGGCAGAAGAAATGAGTGGCATTAAGATTTTAATAATTGACGTTGTAAATAGAAAGCTACCATTAACTGTTTTCTTTATGTAAACACTAATTGAAATGAAATATGTAAAAAAAAATTGAATCCAATTGTGACATTTATTAATATGTAGTTAAATATCACAATCATGTGTCAGCATCAATACACCTGTTGGATTCAACAACAACCGACCGGGACTCGGTCTTGTAACAGTTAATGTGCTCTCTTGTAATGTACTATTACATGTAATTGTGTCTTCTTTGTAGATTAGTTGTTCAGAAACGTTGAACAAGAGATGATTGTCAGTGCAAATTGAAAATAACAGGCACGGTTTTGGTAAAAATGTTTAAGAACGTGGATGGAAATAGATTATGACTCCTTTGTGAATTGTGATAAACAAAAGGCTTTATTAGTTTAGTAAATACTGACACATTTTAGTTCATAAATAGTGATTTTGTCAAGTGTCATTGATAAACATATCAACACTGTTTTCTTTAAATTGGTACAGGTTCAATAAATGTCTATTCAAACGGTTATTTCACTTCCCTGACTATATCTACACAGTAAAAAACAGTTTTTTCTGACATTGCAAAAATCCCAAACGGGTAAAATGAACACATGTTCAATCAATAACCAAATAACAGCTGCCCATATAAATAATGATTGTCCACGGGAGGGAATGAAGCATGAAGCTGAGCTTAGGTGGGATAAATCTGCTGTGACCACGGGGTACAAAGGTCTTCACTGAGGTAATAAGTTAAAGGCAGAGAAGGACGGACAGAGCGTCGGTGACTAACCCTCTTCTGGGACTGTTGGGCATCCTTCTCATCGCGCAGCCTTTTGTTCATATCCCTAAAATGAAAGAGAACAAACATCACACTGGCTGATGTAGACAGTGGTGGTAGTAGTTTAATTGAAAACAGGGAAGTTGCATTTATTGATTCATTTATTTAAGGACACCAATGTATTTTTTAGGGATTTTTCTTAAAACTTCCATATGAATGAACTCTGATTGAAACAGCACAACGTTGTTCAGACGTACCTCAAGAGCTCCAGTTGTCTCAGGAGACTTTCCTTCTCTTTCTGCATGTTCCGTGACACCTTCATCACGTTTCTAGGGTCAGGCAAACAAACAACAGATATGAGAGATTACTCTTTATTCTTTTTATTGTCTACAAAACCAACAACAAATGTTATTATAATACATCAATAAGCCACCCTGTTGCTACGGGCGACACACTCTTTTGTCAGGAAGAAAATAGGCACCGTTGTTTATTTAAAATCAATCACACGGACACTGGCGTCATGCATTTAATACTCACTAAAACTGACTAAAATGTGTATTAATCCCCGAAAAAAAATAGTCTCCAACAGAAATGAAAAAACACGTATAGGCTGACAGTTACAGGGCTGAGCAGTCAAGTTTATACATACCAATCTCTAAAGAATGAATAATAAATAAAATACTTAATATTGAATTTGTATTAGTATCCTTGTATGTAAACTGTTTGTGTACGTATACATTATTGATTCTTTAAACAACAAAAAATCGCAACCACAACCATGCAAGCCTTGCCCTTATCTCTTGGTAGTCTTCTTCTGCTGTAGCTCTCACCTCTGTCTGGCCTCTTGCTCCCGGGCAGCGCTGACCTGCAGCAGGCTGAGCTGACCCAGAGCGGCCTGCAGCTGCTCCCTGCTGCGCTCCACCTGCTCCTGCAGCTGGACGTTGAGGCTCCGCAGCAGCTGGTTCTGCTCCTTGATGTTCGCCCGTTCAGAGCTCATCTGCCCAATTCGGTTTTCCAGCTTGGGACAAAGGACAGGTCCTGTTGAGTCATTCGTTTAAGTAAAAGTCCTCAGAAATGACAGCGGTGCTATTTGAATGTATACCTCTCTTTGTTTAGCGAGCGTATTCTCCAGCTCTTGCTCGCGCAGCTTTACCTCCTCCTCCAGTTGTCGCCCTTTTTGCTTCTGTCCAATACGGTCCTAGATTTCCCAATAGTTCGATTAAAAGCTGTTCGGATGATGATTTTTTTTTAAAGGCACAAACGCTGGACTACGGAGCACAAGTACGTACCTGAGACAGACACAGGCGCTTCTCCCTCTCCTCTCTCATTTGGTTTTCCATTTCTTCATATATGGAGCGAACAACCTCGTCGTGTTCACTCTCCCGCCTGAAACGCAAAAGATTTTAGAAAACACAAAACACGTGTGAACGGGGCACAAAGAGTTGTTCCACAGGCAGAGGGCGGCGGGACGGGGGCTGTGACCTGTGCAGAGCTTGTTCCAGGCTGTCTCTCTCTCGGATGGAGTCCTGTAAATGCGACACCGCGTGGATCAGCACGCCGTCCAGGACGCTCAGCATCTCCGGTCTGTCCCGCTGGAGTTCACACCAGAGAGAAGAGAGCTCCTGCCGACTGACACAGGAAAACCACTATTAAAACAACAGAGGACATCCACCTTCCACCAGCTCGGGACCCCTAACCCACGTCACCAAAAGACAAACTATAAATTGATATATTTATATCTGTGATAAGCTTCGGGTTTCTTTTCTGTTAAAGTTGTCCAGTTCAACGTTTCGCATCAAGAAAGTCATATTTTATTATCATTATATACAATATAAAGAGTAAACTATCTACAATATATCACATTAAAGATATCTTGTTTCCAAAGTTGTATCGAAGTGGCAAAGAATCATGCTATTTACAGCATCTTAACCACCCGCGTGCTAATATTTGTAGCTATACATTCAGTTGTCAGTTTTGTGGGTGTGCCTTGCTACAACCTATGGCGTACTATTCAACAGTCCTGTAACATATCCTGCCAAAGGAAAACCTTTTAAGGAACATTTGAGGGTGCAGTTTGAGTTGTAAATCACAGCTGTAGAACTCCTGGGGGAATATTCAGAGCGCCGCCTGGTGGGGAGTGGCTGTGTGTTAGTGAACTTACTCTTTAAAGAGTTTGTCAGCTCCCAGTTCCATCAGTATGTTTACAAATCGAACTGCAGGACTGTCCTGGGAGCAGTCCGTGTGGCCTAGATCTTCTGATTCGTTTAGACTTGGCTCCGGTGAGTCCTCCAGCCCCACTAGCTCGCCTGCATCCCACAGCGAGAGAGAGAGAGAGAGACCAAACACTTGGTTTATTCTGCGGTCATAGTGAATACTGGTGTCAAAGTACAACACTGACCAAGTCCTTTGTTGAACTCAACAGGAGTGAGGAATCCATTGCTGTCTCGATCAAGACTCTCAAACACCGTCTCCAGCTGTTCAGGGGACAGCGGCAACTCCACCTGCAGCCTCTGAACGGAAGAAGATGGGAGGATCAACAACCTACGACCAGCCCCAATTTTCATTATTCTAGTGCATCGGCCGCTCACCTGCATATCGCGCTTTGTGATGAAGCCTTTTCCTTCTTTGTCACACAGCACAAACAGCTCCTTGGCCTTGCCCATGGTCTCTACCAGCGGGCTTCCTGGCACGGCGTCTCTGGGTGAAGCCAGTGGACTGCAAACACCCTGGCTGGGTCTGGGGCTCCCCACTGATAGGCCTCGCAGTCTGGGGCTGATGGGTACTGCCTCGCCGCTGCCTTCGCCCACCAGCACTTCGCCATCCTTCAGCCACGTGGACATAACTGCACACAGGCAGACAACTATGGGTGTGGAGCTGGTGTATATTTTCTTAAATATTGTGCACTCGTCGACCTCCAAGTTGGTCATTCGGGTTTGAATGCTTAACTTTATTTGTCTGGGAGTCATGAAAAGAACAGTTGGATCGTTAAACACACCTCAACCAATATATATATATATATATATATATATATATAGTAAAAAATTAAAAAAGATTTCCTTTGTCAAAAATCTGTGTGCACTGCATAGCTTTTTAAACTTTTTTCACTTTTGGTAAACAAAAGAAGCTATTTAAAGACGTCGCCATGGATTCTGGGAGTTTTTTTCATCATGCTTTTTAAAAAATCTATTTATGTAATTGTTCATTCTTATAGTCCCAATGAAAGTGTGCAGTATTTAGCGAGTGGATACCACAAGTCTGACATCATCATCAGATACACCCATTTTTACTTTCTTGATGAACCACTGTCAATTACGAAATACTTTGGATCTTGTCTCTTGGCGCTGCAGCATGTTGTGAGAGGCGGCCCTGCAGGTCCTCCCTTGTCAAACACAAAGTGCAGAACAACCAAGCTGCTACTTTACACGTTAACTTCAGATCAGGTGGCAGACATGTTCAAACCCAATTAGGTTTAAAAACTGTCTCAGATGGTTATATCTATAGATGTAAACAACTTAACGTCAACTGAAGGACTATATAGTCTATACTGTATCTATGCAGTTGGCCTAAATTGTTTATTTAGAGGACAGCAAATGTGATGCTGCGTCACTGCCATGAGCAGCAGGATGTGTTGAGGTTAACAAACAGGATGATATCATGTGAGGGGAGTTTCTGCGTACTCAAAGGGGAGGGCGGATTGCCTTGGGACAGGAGATGCAAATAAAACATTTGCAGTTGTTTGCATTGTAAGAAGTACCACAAATCGCAAACCAATCTTACTCTTCGGGACTACAGCGGATATATGGCTCAGTTTCTCCACAAACGTTCATAAAACTGTGATTTATGACAGATATCAGCAGAAAAAATGATCAGTCTTCATCTTACATTGAACTGCATGAAGGTTTTAATTCATAAATATTACCCCACCACTCCTTTGTAAATTCTCGCCGGCCATGCAAACTATGATCATAAAGGTACAACCTAAAATAATGCACTGATAACAGCTCGTAAAGATTATTGTTTCAGACCCGTATAACAGGGAGATGTGTTGGAATCAGAGAGAACAGGCTATGCAAACAGAATGTGTTGAGGATTTCGTATTTGACAGAGAGCCACACAAAAGGTCAAATAAACTTTAATAAGGTGTCACTTACATTCAGGAACACCACGTTATCGCCTACAAACCTGCCCAACTTCTACCACATTTCAGAGAAAGACTAAACGTTACGCTTTCTGAGAAAAGTCAACACTCAGTCACACTTTGTGAAATGCAGATAAGAGTTTGCGACCTTAAAAACTGACACACAGCTCAAAGGCCGAGAGAATAAAATAAAAATGGCTTAACTACACGCGACCGCTTCTGGAGCATCGTAGCTAACGTTAGCTGGAGTCACCCTAACCAACCGAATAAAGTAATGTAACGCTATGCTAACGTCATTAAAGAACTAAAAACCCACACGACCGTTAATCGCGGACATTAATGCGTCACTGCGTTGCAAGAGAACAAAAACGTCTTGACGTTTCTACATGACTTCTAGAATTATTTTTTCGTATTGATTCATCGAAGCCGCTTAAACTTCAACTACTCACCCGAGGTGATCTGGACGCAGGTGTCTTCTACCTTAGATCCGCTCGCATTAATCACGTAATACTCGCATAGGCCGCTGGGTGGCGGTAAGCATCGGATGTGATGGAAGTTTACCGTAATGCTTAGTGTAACCCCTCGAACGGGTCCCCCCCCCAAAAAAATGTGCATGTTATTTTTTACACCCACACAACAACGTTACGTAGTCATGTTGAGGAAATAAAAGAGCGACTGCAAGAAAAATGACAACTAAATATACTGTAATCCCTGTAGATATTTCGATGAATATTTACAGAACCTCTACGTCTATTGTTACGGTAATAACCAGCGTTGCCATGGAATCTACGGAAATACATGCTGGGAAGCGGCAGTGGACGCTGCGTGTGCGAACCATTGTCCGCAGACTAAAGCAGGAATCTGAGGATTGCAGCTGTTCTTTCTTGCTCCGGGTGACGTAGTTTCATTCTTCGCACGTTTTATTCTGGTAAATTGGTGTTACGTGATTTGTATGAGTTCGTCTTAGAATAACATTTAGCACGCAGCAGAGTGAACGTGGTGATGGTTATAACTTCACGCCTGGAGGGAGTTCCTCGAAGTCGAAGAAGAAAGCCCGAAGGATTTGTTGTGGAAATCAGATTTTCTGCTGCCCGGAACAAATAACTGTAGCCTGCAGTCGTAGACAACTTTTAGATTAGCTGCCTGCAAAGTAACACAACAACAAAGGGATACAATTAACGTTAGTGGTGTTTGCGTAACGTTGGATGCAAATGATCGGTAATCCCAGTTTTGACCTCTCCGTATTTGCACGTGTAACAGCCAGATTGTGTTAGTTATACTGCTATTGTGTAGAGACACGTTATCGTGCATCAAACCCTCATTCGCAAAGATGGCGGGAGAAAAAACACACCGCCCGACCACCTTGTTTCACCGCTTTTCTGTTCTCCCTTACAGGAAAATGCAACAGACGAGGAGGGTCTCTGCGTCAAAGATGTCAACGTGCAACATTTGAAACGATCGAAATCATCGAATGTGCTTTCTTGAACTACCTGCGATCATCACAGAGAAGCCTCTTTTCCGAGAGGACATCAACATGTTGACTGACAGGAGGAACAACCGGGAGTGAAAACATAAAGCAATAGACCAAGTAAGGGAAAAAGCCTGTCTTACTATGTTAAAGAACACGTTGTGAAGCCTCTTTTTTACTAAAGAATGTAACTTAGGCTTTTATAGACTTGTGTCCCCATCAAGTACCTGCGTTGAGCACCGTTCAAAGACAGGCAGCGGGGAGGTGAATGCACTGGGAGCCGTGGTGGTTTGCAGCCCCTGAAGATGCTCCAGACTGGTAATTACTCACTGGTGCTGCTGATCCAGATGACACTGTTGACCTATGACCTCTTCGTCAACTCCTTCGGTGAACTCTTGAGGGGAGCACCGGTCATCCAACTCGTGCTTTTCATGTAAGTCATTGAACGACATTAAGTCAACATTTCTACTCTCTGGTTTATATGAAATTAGCATCTTTATTACTTAGTTGTAGCTCTCATTTGGGAGAAATGAAATACAACTACAAATGTTTAAAGGCTAAAAATAACATTTACAAAATAATTTATGATTAATAAACCAGTCCTTCGGTTGAATGAAACCGCAGCTTATCGGCATTTGGAATAGTTAATGAATATAATTCATTGTTTATTTATATACGCAAACTATTTCACTATGACGACCTCTGCACGTTGACGTGATGTTTTATCTTTGCGTTGAAAATCCACTTCCTCCTCTCTGACATGATTTTTTAGTATTTTTTATGCATTGTTCACACACAACCACAAACCATTATTACATTGGTACAATTTGTTTCTACAGCATTCAGGACATTGCCATCTTGTTCAACGTGATCATCATTCTGCTGATGATGTTCAACACCTACGCGTTCCAGGTCGGCCTGGTGTCCCTCCTCCTGGAGCGCTTCAGGGCTCTGCTGATATTCTCTGCTGTTTACCTGACGCTCAGCATCGGCTTTCACTGCTGGGTGTTGGTAAGCTTCCTCACACCAACACCTGAATGCCAAAACGGGCTCATTTTAGAATCTTAGTAAAATGTTGAATACCTTATATCAGAATAAATGTGGGGCTGTTTAATCCATGCAAACTATGCCTGAAAAGTATTTTTCTTTTCCCAGAATCTTAGATGGTTTGAGTCAAACCGTTTCGTTTGGACAGATGGTCTTCAAGCTCTTTTTGTTTTCCAGAGAACAGGTAATTGGTCGATTAAATTCACAGGTGAACTTTCCATTGCAACTAATCTATTTGATGTAACTGTACTTATTTTTGTTAACAGGGGCAGTGATGTATTACTACTTATACAAACGAACAGCTGAGTACATGGGCGACCCGAGGCTGTACGAGGACTCTCTGTGGCTGCGGGAGGCCTTTGCGCGAGGTCGTCAGTGAAAAAGAGAGCAAAGTTCTTCTGACTATTCTGAATTTTTTGGATGTTTGCATTTTTTTAAAACACGAAGCAACGTCTCAACCATCATGTGTTTACTGGCGTTTCGTAGCCAATCAATCTATTGCTTAAACGGTTTAGTGGCAGGTAAGCCACCCATGGTAGTATTGCATTAAGCAGGATCGTCTCTCTTAATCTATGTGGCCTTTGTAAACCAAATTGAATTGCAGACAGAATGGAACACATTGGAAGTAGTAGTAGTATATGGGGAAGTTTGTTTTGATCTATGTGCATTAGTAGAACATGTGATTTGAGGAAAAGTTATTCTCCCATGCAGGAGGATTAATTATGCCTTATGTAAGGTCACTATGCAGATTACATGGTTAATGTTATTTTAATAAGCCAATTTTATGTGATTCCAGTTGTCTTTTAATGGGGATCTTTGAATAGTATTCCCACTGTTTGTATTAAATAATCCTTCTCTAATCCAGGTGTAATCCCAAGAGTCGGTATTGTGCTGTAGACAAGGTGAAACAGAGTGCTCTATTTTTAACACAAAGATTAATCAGGGATTTGGGTTTTAAGTTCCACTAGTGAAACGCATCAAAAATAGTCTTCAGTGCGTCAAAATAACCTTCTAATCTCAATGACCCAACAGGTCAAGTTCCAGCGAACGTCAGGTCTCCTCTGAATAATAATGTCTATCATTATTATGTAACATTTGATACATATGTTCAAATCAATGCAACTGATCAATTAATGCAAGTAGTTTCAGATATCAGGTTGGACAAAGAAAGACAGTAAAAGTTATACAAATCCCCTTTACTAGTGACAAGAGAACCAGAGTCCATAAGATGCCAAAATGTCAGTGCAGTCCAATTAAATCGAGTCCATGTTGTTTGTGATGTCCTTTCTTTCAATGGAATGTGTCGTACTGCTGTCAGTCAAGTCACATGAATCTGCAAGGAAGGAGAGGAAACAAAATCAACCACTACGGAACGCTTTCAGGGATTAAAATCAGATTACAAAAAGTACCACTACACTACTATACTTAAATACTTGAAAGTATACCTTTATACATATATGCCAACCCAGAGTAGTAAGAACAGCACACCAAAGCCCATGAAAAGGGAAGCCACGAGGGAGATCAGCAGCTCTTTGTAGACATCTCTGGTGTATTTTGTTGATGTCACCTCGTAGCTGATGAGAAGTTAAGGGCCAGCTCACAAAACAAGTACAACCAGCAGCCACAGTTCTGCCGTGTAGCTTATTCTATAATATGTATCCTGTACTATTTCATGACATTTACAGACCCCCACTGTGGAAAATGAAGAAGTTACTCAAACGTATTACAATTCCAACAGGGGTCAGTTTTACAAATCAATACCAACAAACCTTCTATAGCATCTGAAAATGTAAGGATGCATTTTCAGCCCCGTCTTTGTTATAATGCTGGATTATTTTTCTTGGATTTACCATTTGGTTGAATCAAGGATTGTGCCTTATCATCTTTTTGAGAAATCAACTTTGTTGAGAAACTGCATGGGCAGCCCAAATTCCAGAGGCCGAAGCAGGAAGTAACTGACGTGTTTGGATATTCCGAAGGGACAGTTTGATCATTTACCTAATTATAGCAAAGTTGGGAGTTGTTTAAAAAGATGTGGGAGTCTGCTTTTCCTCCCCATCAGCTAGAATTTAATACATTGTTGTCTTACCACCAATGAGCAATACATTGTTGTCTTACCATTTGGCAATTGAAATGATGGGTGAATTATGCAAACAATTCACAATAGTAACATACTATTTAAATAATTTATGTTTCACTTTTACTCAAATGGGTGCAAACCAGTGGAACTGATAGCATCCATGAATTAATCTTGGACGGTTTTACCGTACGATACCTATTCTGTGTCCGATATGACCCCCCCCTTCATATTAAGCCCATTCACGTATGTTGAAAGGATACACGAAGAACCAGGCGGTGAAGAACATGCCGATGGCCAGAAGGACGACAGTGAGATGCGGGAACACAGCCGGGTTCACCGGGCTGGTGTATCTGGTCATAGCCTCGAGTTCCTGCAGCAAGGAGTTCAGACCAGGTTAGACAAGATGACATTACATCCCCCCACCAACATCCAGTTAAACACCCTTACATAGTGCATTGCGTCTATAGTGAATTAATCATACAGTGGGTTCATTTTCCTTTAACGAGAGCGTCTAAATCTGCGAATTTGACATCGACGATTTGACAAGCTAACGTTGCTCGGCTAGTCCGCTATAAAGCTTCAGAACGCACCCTTTTACGCAGAAAATGCATCGCATTGCTAGTGAAATGGTGAATAACGCGTACAGATAATTACAATCGTATATAACCGTCCGAACGTGTATAAACAATAAGAAGATTCTACCATTTTGCAAAGAAGCGGTGCTGCTCCGTATATGATCCAAGACGATAAGGCCACGTACTCACTTATCACTTCCTGGATTCTTTCGTGACGTACAGGTCACGTGGTTTGCATGCGACTTTACGTCCAATCGTAACAAGGAAAGGCTACTTAAAACTTAAAATGATGTTCTACTCTAAACCTTTACAGACTATTGACTCCAACTATATATCACCATTGACCAACTTAACAGTTGCTTCTTTTTAATAGTTTTCAATCTGAATATGTTTGAAAATATATCATATATATATATATATATATCAACTCATGAAGCAGGCAACATGCACAACAGAAAGTTCAATCACAAATTTATTCACTACATGCATTTACATCGTATTACAATTCTTTTATATGTTGACATAATGTTTTGAAAATTAAATGATAAAAGAGGCTAAAAAGAAGTAGTGATATTAAAGTACTCAAGTTTTAGTGTTATGGTATTTTCTCACGGCAAATAGTGCTAACATTACAAATATATTGCTGTATGTCTGTTTTACTTTTTTGTAATTTTTGGGCTTTATTAGCTAAAAGGTAATATATTATTAATAATACAACAACCCACAAACATATCAACTATAAAAACAATATGATAAAACACATCAGATAAAAAGGAGCATTGGTAGTAACAAAATGAAGCTATACAGTTACATGTAATGCAGTTCTACCAGAGTATTTAAAACCGTCTGGTGCATTGGATAGAGTAAAAGCAGTACATATATACAGTGCAAAAAGTGCTACATTGGTTTCATTATGCTAGCTGGTGCGTTATAAATAAGCTAAAATATCACACTCTACCCACCAAAGTCATCATAATTATACTGAAAACATTGTACAGTTTCTTAATATTACGATTCCATAACCTTTTGTCTGATGGCTGTTTCCTGTTTAATATTGATTTTACATGTGAGATATACTGTTATGTTCTTTCTTTATGAATGCAGTCATTTATTGAATATGTATTAGAAACACCTTTTCAACAAAAGGATGTTGGTGAGAGTAAGTGAATAATGACTTAAAAAAAAGAAAAGATAATAACAAAAGAAACATCATACAAATCATATATACTCATGATGTTATCACTGCATATTCGTAATTGTTTAATGCCAGGAAAAGTATTCAAAACATCTAGAGAAAAACACAAAACAGTTCAGTGTATAATATCCAATTCTAACTCTGTAGTGTGCACAAAACAAATGCAACTCCCTCTCAACTTTATCGACCCATTAACATCCATCTCCCATAGCTGAAGCAGCATTTGAGTGGCCTCTGGGCTGAGATGTTACCTTTTAAAGAAATGATTGGGCATGCACCTGAAATGATTTATGCCAGTTATTACCTTGTCAGCATTCTTTCCAGTTAACAAAATACAGTGTAAGCGATTCCAGTGAAATATTGTCAGTGTTGGACTTTCAATTTAACTCAACTATCAGATGCCAAGAGCTGTCAGTGTTTCTACATTTTCATTTCCAGTGATTTGTTTACTTATCCAGTCTTATCGCATGTCTTCCAGTGAATCTGCTTAAAATGAATAGGACTTCAATTTCGGAACAATAACAAGGGTTTCTGTGTGATACTATGCATATGCATGCACATTTGGTGTAACACTTTAACGTTTATGTCAATGCCACGATCAAGAAAGACAGACTGCACAGTATTTCTTTCTGTGTGCAGTGTTCAGTCAGATGTTGCATGAGGAGACAGCAGACAGTCGAGTCGACTGCAGCAGCCCACACAAACACAATGCTCTACTGTAGAGACCGTGGATTTGCCAGTGTGCACTACTGAGGTATATACTCAGTGCAAGTTGCAACCATTCACTGAAGCCTTCACCAGAAGTCAATGATGTTCTCCCCAGTGTATAAAATGTGTTTTTGTTTTCAGTTGACACTGGTCTCAGTGTTCATACAGATTCATTGAATTGGAAAAAGAGACAAAAATGGCTGCATAGTCAATCTAAAGTATCTTACGCTGGGCTTCATTTTGAAACTTCAATTTTGTAAGAAAGTAAGTATGTCTTCTTTTGAGTATTTGGTGATCATCAATTAAATGAGCATAAAACTCACAAACTCAATCGACAGACACAACAAAGTTGTCAACTACGGAGAGGGGATTGCAGTAGGAACAGGGGTGTGAAGCTTGTTCTGTATGATATCTTTAAAACATAATATACAATAATAAGATAAAACCTGATCCCATCTCAACAGCGTACACAAAGGGAAAGTGTGGTGTACTCTAACGCCTGTGGGACAAATCTTCCTTCTCAAACACAGCTGCTCTGGATGAGAAAGTGGTAGTCGGAGTATGATGAGGTTTCTCCCTCAGTGGCACAGCTCACTTCACTCTGTCAACGTAAAACACACAAAGTCATTGAATTTATTCCAACTAAGTACAACAATAATTAACCAGACGGGCCACGCAGTGTCTAAAGTGTCTGCAGCCTGAGAAAGCTTCTCATATTTTGGAGGCCAAATTTACTCACAGACAGAGAGACACGGAAGTGATAGGTGATGTCCTGGAAGGACAACAAAGGCACGGACCAAAGGTGATGAGTCCCCTAAGAGAAAAGTATAAAGACTATTATGAGGGTAATTACCGGGAAGTCTCTGTTGGGAAAACAAATGAAGGAAGATTCTACTTTCACACACTTCTAGCTGTAGAAAATGACTTATATAAGATTGATCACAATCCACATTATATACCTTTGTTGATGAACTCTGTCCACCATAGAGCTCTGTCTCTGCGTGGTTGGGGCATAAACGTCCCTTGGTGGCTCCACATTGTTGTACCCACACGCTGTTCATTGACCTGCGGTAATTGATAATGCTTTATGTGGGGGCTACAGTTGTTTCTTTTTCTACTTGCACAGATTGCTGTTGCTGTTGTTTTTGGAATCTGTTATTTCCACAAAATGTCCAAATGTTAATTTAATATGATCTGATACATACTTTAGGGAAAAGTCAAATGCACATTTTTTATTTTCAAATGACTGTAAAACTAATTGAGAAATATTAGAATGGATAAATTGAACGTGTACCGATTAAAGCCTGTCTATAGTTCACATATACTTAGTGCCAAATGACACGGCTCCTTACAGGAATCTTCTACAGACATTATGGATTTACAGACCTGTGAAGTAAAGCATTCCATGAAGATAGTGTGATGATTGTATACTCACATCATATGCAAAGTGATATGTGATTTGGAGGAATTTCTGTTGCCATGGAGTGATACTGTGTAGCTAGAATCAACATACATGGAATCAGCATTAAGCATCAAGACTTGAAATCAAAGCGTAATTGTGTACAAGAAAAGCATACAAAGAAGTGACAAGAGAAGGAAACACAACTCAAGACTAGATCAACTTTTAATGATGTACCTGCAGCTTTCAGGTGTGGAGCAATTCTTTACGGAGATCTCTTGGTTCGTCTCCACGATATGTAGGCTAGTCAGAGAGGGCGCCGACCTTCCTCCTGCAAAAGGAAGAAAAGCTGCACTCTGAGCGCCAAACCCATACTCTAGCATTCCATTGTGCATTATGTAGATACGCTTTATTTGCTTACACGACTTTACTAAGTTTGCATACTGCATACTTATATGGAGGAAGTGAATTTACCCTTTGCGCGCAGGCTGCGCTGTCTGCGTGGCACAGGCGGCTGACCTGGAGCCAGCCGGTTGGTAGCTGCCACTTCGCCCAGGTCCGTGGTTGACGGTCTTTTGGACTTGGCAAAGTACAAAGGTGCTGAGGTGTGACTCAGACGGTTTCTACTGCGACCGTCTTTTTCCATTGGTCTGGACTTGGCCTTTTTATTAATGGGTCCTGGTGTGGGAACCGGGCTGTCTGAATTTAGAGAAGGACGCAATTAGCCCACAATAACGGTACATTTGCACTACAGGAAAACATCTACTGTCTATTGACTTACCTGGTGTAGATTGGTTGTTACTCAATGTCACAACTGTTGCTGATTGGTTGTTTATGGCTGTAGTTGAACAGCAAGCTGCAGGATTTGTGATAAATGAAAGAAAAAGGATCAGACCTACTGTATATGGGCTTACATTGTCTATTCCCCTGAGGGAGCGTGGTGTTAACTGTGCTTTTCAAACCTACTATTAACAACTATTAGGGGCTTGGTCCCTCCACTCACCTGGTGCAGGCGTTGTGGACAGTGGAGTATAAGAACTCTTGCGTGAGGATCCCAGTGCAGCTCTGGACCTGCACCAAGCAGTACAGGCGGTGAATAGCGTACTTTGGGTAAAATAACAATATATATCAAATAGTGTTTGGATAGGTGATTCATGAGTTCTCTTTGGACAAGAAAAAAAGAAACACCCAACTAAGCAATCAAAGATAAGACCAAAAGAGTAGATCAGAAAATGAAACAAGTAGCAAGAAAGGCAGGTGTCGAACACGTACCATGGGCAGATAGGTGGACAGAAAGTTAAAGAGGCAGTAAAGATGGGCCTCCAAGAGATGTAGAGAACACAGGAGGGAACATAGCTGAGGACAGCGAGACAAGATTACACAGAAAGAAGTTTAGAGAGAAGAGGAAAATTGATTTCACTTTAAAGCTTAAGCGTGTTTCCTTCTCTCAGGTGCCTACCCATCTTTCTCTGTGACGTCTCCTCTATGGTGAAGAGTCAACACATACAGGACAGACATGGAAATGACACTGTCCGGGGACAAATACAGATTATGTCACTAATGCACGAAGATGAAGCTGATTTTTTTTTGTTTTTCCATCACTCTCTCCCCAAACACATTTAGTCCATTCTAACCTGAAGGCCATGACAATGACCAATGCCAGGATGGTTCCCTGCATCAACCTCTGGCTAATGCAGCCTTGATCTGGGGCCGAGTTCTGCAAAAAAAAAAAAGTTAATAATTAAAGTTGTAAATCCTTCGCCTCTCTTATAACACAGGTAAAGCACATCATCATCCTGACAGACCTTGCTCCCAGGTTTGACCGTCTTCTTCCTCAGTGGGCCACTTCCTGTTCTGCTGAAATAGCTCCCGGATTGGCTACATGGACAAGAAAAACAAAAGCAATCTAGAAATGATTTTTCGAATCACACAAGATTACGTCTGTTAATGTTTAAGACCTGCCTTGAAGCTCACATTGGAGGCGACGTCTGCTCATTGCACTCACCTGACAGTGCTTCCGCTCACAGTGCTCTTCATGCTGTCAAGGCGACGCAGCTTGGCCAGTTTGCGGCTCCAGCGCTCCAGTTCGTCGATGCGAGTCTCCAGGTTGTCTGTCAGCTTACAAAGCTCCTTCACCGCTCCCACGTTCTCCATGAAGATGCGGTCCTTTAAAATAAGGGAGGAGCTGTGAGTGTGCGTGGAAGTGATGTCCGTGTGCGCTGATAGTTCAAGAGTTTTCGTTACCTTGTTGACCACTAACAGTTTGGGGATAGTTTCACCGTTGGCAAACACTATGTCGCCCCCCTCCTTGACTGCTTCAGGCAAGATTTTCTGAACCTCTTGAGCGATCACTCCTGCAGCAGGATATAACAGATGCTGAGTGGAGGAGAGCAGCAAATGCATGGAGGATGCACGGATGCAGGACACACTGGCATAACGAGGCACACTGAGCAAAAGACAGATCAAATATTTAAGTAATTGTTTCAAAGATTTTTTATTAAATGAATGTCCCAGTCTGACTTCGAATGAGGTAACATAACTGACATAACTGAGCCTGTGGCCAAGCCTTTCATTTGCAGTAATACAAACCAAATCAGAGATCTTTAAAACATGTAACATGTAACATTGCATTGGTACCATGATTTGCAAACACATGGAGGCGATGGCGGCAAACATTCAATCGTGTTATTTATGAAGTTGTTACCAGTTTCTGCTGTGCTCTCTATGCCCACGCAGGCGGCAAACTCAGGTTTGAATTGATAATGGACGAGCCTCATCTGAGAAATCCGTTTCAAATTGTCTGTAGTGTCGACCTACACACGGACAGAATGACAATGATGACCATGCAGATGATGTGATAACAAAATGCTCGTGTTGCAGATGAAAGTGCTCGGATCAAGTACAATGGAAAGACAAAACTTAGAGTTGAACTGCACAGTCAGCTGTGCTGAGCATTGGCCTTTGGACGATGACACGTGATGACAAGCACGTCAGGCACAAAATGACACACTGACAGTTGGAAGCACACGCACACACACGCGCACTACATGCCCAAACACACACATATACATACACACTGAGTGTCATCCTGACCTCCTGGACATTTTCTTTGGCCCTGATGTCAGACGGGTGTACCAGCGAGCCCATAACCTTCAGGTTGCCATGGACAACAAGGGCTTCGTCCGGCCTGTCGGTGTTGATGCCGACTCTCCCGTGGTGGTAGACGGAGTCTGGCAGCTGGCCGCGCTGCCACAGCACCTCGGTGTCACTTTCAAACTGGCCAGGGTTGGAGGCCTGTAAAATAGAGACAAAGGAGAAGGTGCACAGGCAGTACTTCAGATGTTTCTGAAAGTTATGCTAAAAAAAAGATTGAAAAGATTAAAATGAATACAATGTATAAATAATATCATTATTTGTGATAAAAATTTTGTGAACACAAGCCTAAAATGTCATGTCAGCCCTTTGGCTTAAATTAAATCATTGCGTAACTTTCAGGTATCTTATTTGGCTCAAGTAGTTAACTTTACTCTTGAATTCCATACTTTACATGTTGAGAAAGAACAATGCTAATGCTGTCTGGTGAAAAACATTTATCCCCATCTTTCTTTCAATCGACTATCAGGTCGAATCAGATTGGTGGGTTAAGAAAATGATCCTGATAAACTTGAAATCAAAACTAAAGCGATCATCTTTTTCTGTAGAAGCCACCAACCAGTGGGACATCCTGTCTGATGTTGAGAAGAGCTGCAGCTCTATGAGGACTTTAAAAGCTGCTCAGCACTTTACTCATTGAGCAAAATGAATATGGTCTCTACTACTGAATTGTAAGGGTCAAACATGCATTGGTGATATGCTACTGTGTGGCTTTGTGTTAATGTTTGCTATTGTGTTATCCTTGTTTTGACGTGCCAGATGCAAGTTTGCTAAAGCTATTATCTAGTAAAGTGCATCAAATGGTGACATTTATGTTAAATAAAAACAAAAAACTGAGTTGTCCTTTTTTCACAAAAGGTTGAAGTTGGGAAGATACATGGTTTTCACTATATAGCTTACTTTGTATATTGGAGCATACAGTTACAGTAGGTGTGCTGGATATTATGCATATATAAAAGGAGGAAAGACAGTCAATGGAGAAGTTGGTGAGATACAGAGTGATTCGGAAGTGCAGAGAGTTATGTAAAGTAGACCTAAGGGGTCACATTCACAAGGGATATGATTGTTGTAGGAGGTAGACAGACATGGCCAGACGTTACCCTGACGATGATCCTCTCAGACGCTTGAGCAGCCACAGTGTAGCTCTGACTGTGGGACTGAGCTTGTAGTGCCACCACCAGCATGAAATACCTGTGAGGACAAAAAGAAACGCAGGAGTAGATGTGAGCGGCGGAGCTTTGACAGCATCAGTGAGATCGTGATTGGATGGGACGGCGCGTCATTCACCTCTGGTCGGGGTTTGGCTTGCCCTTCTTCCTCATGTTATTTGCCGTGGTCTCGCTGAAGTGGAGCCGCCCCACTGTGACCTTTGTGACCTGCTCTGAGGGCAGGGTGACCCTGGGAGAGAAAGAAAAAGCAATTCTGAAAACAATGTCCCTTGGCTATATAGTGATTTGAGAGCCAATCTCTTAAAGTGTTCTGACTCACAGCACTGGCTTAAAGGGTCTCTTGCTGCGGTCGGACTGTGACTGCTCCACGCTGATAGACTGATTTACTGCCTCCACCTGGGAACGACGAGAGATATGAAATACAAACAAAATACCGTAGAGCTTATAATCTGCCAAGTGAATGTCATGCTCACTATTTTGCCTCGGCGCACCTTTACTCCGTTGAGTTTGAGGTAGAAGCAGTCGATGGGCTGCAGGCCGTCACTTGTCTTTATGTACTTGGGGTCTCCTAGCATGCCTACATATACTGTGACCTGGAAATGATTCTTCTTCTGGCAAACAAAAGCATCGTCAGCCAAGGAGAAGTTGAAGCCCTTGTCAGCATCAACACGGTAGGTTGGCATTGGACTGAAGACAGGGAAAGAGATTGTGACCAATGAATAATGTGAATGAATCATGTTTGTTGTTAAAAAAAAGTGGAAAAACTGCTGCATAACGCAGAGTTCTAAACCATCACTAGAGGGAGACTCTTGGCTATTTTAGAGGGGGCTTCCATAAGATTGTAGGTCTAAGACCCCGGAGACAAATATGATTGTATATTTAACGCATGTGAATTGGTAAAGAAATGGACAATAAAATACAGTCCATGTGGTGGAGCTAGTGTGGGGATGGTAATAACTATACACCCATCAGTCACTCTTAAACGTTTCCTCATTGTTGGAGACCTGCGTCTCAGTTTTGCCTTTTTTTTAAATCATTGAGGACTGAGATCATCTGAAAGACTTAATAAATCACTGCCGAAAAGCTGCTGGGCCTTTACCTAAGTGTATTATGATAAAAGTTGCAATGGGCATACAGCTGGTTCTGATATCATATCTGAAAGCTCTCGTGAGTTCATTTGAACCTTCCTCCCTATCTATACTTTTTTTTTTTATTATTTCGGCATAGCAAAAGCAAGAGTAGGTGTACACTAATTTCTCCCGTTACCCCTCCTAACGTTGTCTTTCTAAGCCGAAACCCTGCACTCATCCACTCCCCCGCACAGCTCACCTCTGAGGAATTTGTAGACCTTTGCAACCCTGTTATTCCTTTGCCACTCCCGCTTTATACTTTGTTGAATTATTATTTCACCAATTATAACTCTCTGCAGAGAGCTTTCAACCCTTTTTTTTCCCAAAAGAAAGACCTCAAGATGTACAGGTACGCCAAAATAAATTCCACCCACAGCTCTTTGCAGTTTGCGTCATATAGCGGTGTCCACTTGTTCTGCTGGTGAGGCTGCCACTTGATGCACTGATAGTTTGGGTCCAGGTAGGAGTTGTCTGCATCCTGCATTAAACCTGTGACAAGCAGATCAGCAAATAAAACGAGTCAGTGAAATGTTTAGAACTTCTGCAATTGTTCTGTCAAAGTGTTTATCTGTGCAAAAGTTAAAGGGGAGGTAGGAGCAGCTGAGCATCAGGTAGAGAAAGTGAGGAAGAGAAGAAAGATGCCTGCCTACCTGGTTCTTGTTTGATGATACCTGTGATGATTTGGGAATTGATGGTGCTGTTGGGAGAGTCCGAGTGCTTCCTCTTCTTGGCCTGATGAGCGGGGATGCTGCTGTGGGAGGAAACGGAAACACCGTCAAAGGTTGCACATATTTGTGCTCCTTCCCAGCATTCCTTCCCTTCCTCCGGTACAACTCACTCCTGCCCATGAGGATGCTGCAGTAGCTGGTGGAGCATCTGGGTCTGCTGCATGTCTCCACTTCCGCTTGTAGCTGGACCCATTGAGTACTGGGAAATCATGGGCTCAGGCTTCAGGTACATGTCCCGGTGCATGCTGGGATAGTGCCCGTGTGGTGGAAGGGGTGGCGTAGGAGTCATGTGACACATGTTCTCTGGCGTCATGGTCCTGATCATGTGAGTATCTAAAAGACACAACGAGGAAGGAGGAAAATATCTTAAGGTTTATATTTTTCAAATGTGTCTTTCTTTTTCTTTCTCCTCAAAATGATCTTTGTATCTGCAGTTTATTCTACTTCCCTCTAAACGTAGTTAAATGTTTTTCATTGTTTTAAACTGGAGAACTTGGGGGATGCCCATCAGATAACAGTCTTCCACACCTTTTTACTAATGGGTGTGTGAGTGGCAAGAAGTACATCATGACTTTGGTAATCAACTTCAATGTTCAAACAAGGCGGGAATAAGCCGCGGGAACCTCTGTAGAAACGCTTGAAATCAAAGCGTATGAAGCTGAGTTTAGAAAATTGTATTTAGTTGATCAAATAGATTTCTCAAACAAATGATGTATACCTCCGATCCATAAATGACAGACTCACGCTGCATTCAGTATGTTGATTGGTTTCAAATACTACAATGGATAGATACAGATATTGATTTGTCTGCGACCTCCATTCCCCTTGAATGAATCAGTGGCTTTCTCTGACTGCGTGTATGGGTGCAGTTCACAGATTAAAGCACATTTTCTGTTACATATTTTCTATTGTGTGTGCTGTTGGTCTATATACATTCTATATTGAAGGAAATGAGAAGAAAACATGTCACTTACCATTCACCTGCTGCGGAGAATACGGCTCTGAGCTGGAGTCTGGAGGGGACTCAGGTAGTGTACTAAACATAAGGCAGTAGATGTTATATTCACAAAAACAGTCCTTAAAGAAATACCATGCTTAAAGTCGCGAAGACGTGTTTCCTTCTTGTTTTCTAAACCGCCATTAAATAGAGAAACTCTCTTTTGTGAGTGCGGTTCTTTACACAAGATTGTGCCAGTCCGGATTTTCTTGCAGGATGTAATTTGACTCCTGCACTATGTCTGTTATCAGTATCCGTCTCCCTCCCCCTCTTGACCAGCCAGTGTTTTACTTGTACAAATGAAGCTAAATCAAGTATTGATTGCATAATGGGCCGTAGCAGGGTGTGTGTGCTTCCATTGCACGTTTAAAAATAAATACCGCGTCCGTTGCTTCAACTTCTGCCTGGCTTCCGGTGTCGTGTTTAAAATGTGAGAATCACATGCTTCATCCTTTTTGCACCTCTATCCCTCTACCTCCGTTGTACTGTGCTTACCCTGGAGCGTAGTGGCCCCTGTGCTCAGGCTTGAGGTGGGCCTGCTGTTGCTGCGGCTGGTGGTGCTGCTGCTGCTGCTGCTGCTGCTGCTGCTGCTGTCCCAGGCAGAGGTAGTTGTGGCGGAGGCCGAGCGGTGGACCCGGGGGGTACGCGTTCTGACAGTTTGGAGGCCCAGGCGGAAGGGCTCCTTGGCGCAGTGGAATAGGAGGGCTCACACCACACACCAACCCCCCAGAGGAGGACACTCCTGCCTGGGGAGATGAGTAATTTGGTCCCGGGGTGCTGTGGACCTCCGAGAAACAGCTGGGAGAAAGAAGAAGAAAAAAGGGATTAGCCTTATCTGAGAAAACAAATTCCTTTGTAACGACATGATCTGATTCGGTTGGTGCATGTTGTTTTGACGTTGTTGGGTTGGTTTGGAGTCCCTACTGACATGTCAGTGCTATCGTCCTCCTTGCTGATGTACTCTTCCAGGATACTGGTGTCAATGTTGGCTGGCTCCAGAGAACTGATAATATCATGACCTGTGGTGAAGGGAGGGTTGGGAACACGGACAGGAGATGGAGAGCATCTGGGAATTAGCAATGGGAATCTCTCAGCAACAATAGCTGGAGTTTCAACACAAGCTTGTAAGACATCTATCTATCAAATAACATAGTATTAACTTGTTTTTTTTTGTCTTTTATGGCCTTTTGTGCTTACTTCAAATAACCTTATTACATTCTATCAATGTATTTGTATCAGAAAAAATCCCAACATTTTACCAAAGACATAATTAAGATGATGTGAAACAAAAAAAGAGCTGAATTTGATATCTGAGAATTTAAAGATTAAGGTTGCGGTTAAGAGTGCCCAATTTAAACAGCCGTTAGTCAACGTTACAGATCACACTGACGAATTAGTTTCGTTGCTTAGAGCCTTAAAGGTTGGAATGGATCGGGTCAAATGTTACTATTTTGTGACTCAAGTTGCCTTTCCCCATAAAAAGAACCACAATTAACACGATGAACAAGAATCATAAATTACTAACAAAGACACTCAAATTTTCTCTCAATTTGCTTTGTATAATTGACATTTATCATAAAGACAAAATAAATCTAAAAGATTCCCTCACCACATTTGGAATATTTTGTTATAATTATATATTAGTTATTTCATTATTGTTCCCTAATTCCCCCTTACTTCACCCCAGGGTCATTTTCACCCTTTGATAACCAAAGCCTCACAAATCCAAAACACATGACCCCACTTAATCTTTAAATAACCAACATGTAGAACAAGGACTCCCTTATGCCAAAATCTAGAGTAAATATCTTTATATAAACTGACTTTCCTGTTTTCCTCGTGTTCAACTTAAATGTTACATCGGCGAAAGATGCATTTTCTTTATAGATGCCACTAGTTGCATCTGTAAAGAAAATGCTGAAGCCGAGGGAGTGAGGGAGGAGGGGGGAGGGGGGAGGGGGGATGGGGGAGGATGGGGGGGTAAGGAACTAGTATATAGTGGGTGGGCAGGCAACCCCAGTCTCCTTTTCTTTATTCCTCTCTCTCACGTGCACACACACGCACGCGCACACACACACACACACACACACACACACACACACACACACACACTTTCTCTGATAGATTAAGCAGCAACTCAGTTGGGAATGCAAGGAATTTTTGTGTTAGCAATGGAAAGAAAATGTTGTATGCCATTTATGCTTCACTCTTCATCAAACGCACAACTGAATTGTCATTGTTTCTCTTCTATCCCTCCAACGTATTATTGTTCACCACAAATGACTAAAAGCCCGTATCATCTGTGGACTAATATGTGCTTTGTCCCACAAGCACGGAGTGGACAGCCTAACCAGAAGCATTTTACAACTTTCAATCATTAAATCCACAAACCAAACCCTTTACTCCTAACAAATTAAACCAAGAACACCCCAAAGTCTGTTGTTTAACATTGTACATTCCCACATTAACATCTTTTTGGAGGATACTTGCATGTTTACACCGAATGTCTCTCTTCTCTGTAAAGAAGCAGATGGTCTCTTAATACGTGCCAGTGCAAAGGGAAAAAAGCAGGATGGTTCCCCTTAAATAAGATCCAGATGTGCACCCCACCCAAATAGGCAGTAAATTTAAACTGGCAGGCCTGATAACGAAAAATATAGAGAGATGGAGGGAGAGGGGAGGGTACATAGCTGGAGGTTGAGGAGAGCTGGAGCAAGACGGACATAATACAAGTTGGATGTTCAAGCGTGGAATGATGAGAAAAAAACTATAGGACTGACTGAGGAGAGAAAATCATGTCCTCTCTCCAGACCCAGTTGTATATTTTCAACTTTTTTTAATCTGGCATAGTAAGACATATCTGTACTGCAAGGAAAATTCAGTTAAAAAGCTTCAGATGGAGATGTACTATCATCTCATAACATTGAAATGATATGGCTGGAAATGTATGTGCATTTATTTGAGTGGAACGGTAACATTTACACTGAACTTTAACACTTTCTGCAAACAGGTGAGCACTCATGCTTCATTTAATCTCATTTAACCACCTGCATTCACCCCATTGAGAAGGTCCTGTCGATGCTTATATTCATGCTAGTTAAATGTAGATGTATTTCCTGTTACAGAGGGAGGAAAGCAATCTTTAATGTTTAAGTCAGGCCGGAGCCCAGTCACTTCCATTCAGTGAGGCACACAGCTTTTTCCCCCGATATTGGATTGGCCCTTCCAAGCTTCCAGGTATCAGTATCGGGACTCAAGTCGGGTCAGTGCACCTCCACTTTCACCACTTAAGTAACCGTCTTCATCGTGTGACAGGTCTGTAATCATTAATATTCGATACGGGCAAAGAATAATAGAAACATAAATCAAGTCATCTTGACCTCAACATCACTGAATCAGTTGGGTTTAAATTGCTGTGATGTGGATGTGTGAATTTCCCCGTCCTCTTTGTTTTTCTCTGTCCAGCTGTGTTCAACAAGGAACAGTGAAATGATTGTCAGTCCAACTTCGATACAAACTGGCCTTTTGAGAGATTAGGGGCTGAGAGTGGAGTGTGTGCGTGTGTGTATGTATGCCTGGTAGCATATGTGTGTTTGTTTGTTTGTTTGTGTGTGTGAGTGTGGGTGTGTTATGCCACCGTTTCAATGGCTGGGTTGTCAGCCGAGTAATAATCTAAAATGAACACACACAGAGGACCAATTGTGTGATGATTTGACTTATATCCTCAATCAGATGTACAGCTTCCATTTTCCTTATTTTACAAAGTGTATAATGTAATAATCCTCATGTAAAGTTGTGTAAACTAGTATTAAACTACTTTTAGTTTAAACTATTAAACTAAGGCCCAAAGACGTGTAAGACAACATTTTTCAGGGACTACAAAAATGTAAAATAACTCAATTTCACTCGATTTTTTGCCTCCAAATGACATTTTTAAAACACCCACATGTGTGTTAATAATTAAACACAGTCAGAGAAGGAACAAAGTCCATCTGATTGTCAAACAGTCGGAGCTGAACGTACTTGGCTGCACACCCACAGCACATAAAGTACAGAAAGGGAAATAACTTTCTAAATTAACGTCAATATAGAACAACAATGAAAAAAAGTTTTGCAAGCACATGAAAACCGATGTTTGCCGAATCAGATATTGCATAAGAAGTAGATATTTACTGGTCCTCTGTATCAATATACTTTCTCAGATAATTTTCACAAAAATCAACTAACAATAATCTGATGGATCTTAGAGATCACAACATAATCAATGTTAACAAGCTGATCTGTTCTACAAGCATCTTCACGACGCACACAATATGCAGACTGGGTCTGCAATGCACAATTCATCACACATACAGACAAAAAGGAAAGGAAAGGAAACGTGCCACCTCTAAACTAAACTCTAAAGTGTTAGAGGGCTCAGACTTACGACCTTTTCCATTTGTTTACGAGACAGAGCTACTGGTAAAACAAGAGCATCACTACGACGCAGGCATAATTCAAGAAGTCACTAGGAATAAAAAGCCCCCCCCCCGATCAGGTAGGGAATGAAGCTAAAGAGAAGCAGAGCGGCAGAGTACCTGCGCGTAGCCAAAGCATGATGATGTCCTTGAGATGAAAGCACCTGAAACAGAAGATGAGAAGAACAATTCCTCTCTAATTCTTCACATGTTTCCCTACTCGGGCTGGAGGACTTTCTTCAGTAGACCTGAGAGCCACAGATCAGGCTAACCAACGTGTGTAAGTATGTGTGTGTGTGTGTGTGTGTGTGTGTGTGTGTGTGTAAAGGCCAATGTGTGTGAGTGTGTGAGAAAGGCTCGGAGAGTGTTATAATGGGGATTATTCCCCAGTCATGAGAAAAGGCTGTACCAGGCTACCACACACAGCCCTTGTCGCACACAAGCACTGGGCGCACCGGCGGACCTGGTTCAGGAGATTACAGGAGTGACAAGGCTGAGACCGGGACACGAATAGAGCTGGAAAAAAACAAAGCGAATGCTGCTAATGGGGAGGTTGAGTTTAAGCACTTCACAGAGTTACAGAGCACGGCGGGAGACGATGCAAGGAGATGAAGAGAAGACATCAAGGAAGAAGAAGAAGAAGAAGAAGAAGAGGCCCAATGTGGTGTAGGAATAAGAAGATGTAGAAGAGGAGGAAACATTGGTGAATAATCATCTCATGTAGATAAATACAAAAGGTGAATTTCTTGAATTTCCGACAGAGCAGCTCTGGTGGACAACTGCAGGAATCATGATTGTGCTTCGTGTTATATACGTCTGTGCCAATGACGAAGAATTCAAGAGCATTTCTTTCCCTTGACAGCCTCTTTTTGAAGTTAATGCGCACACACACACACACACACACACACACACACACACACATAAAACATTGAATTAATCTATTGAAGTCCGGATCAACCACAAACAACATGCACCGGCTGAGGATTACTAAGAACTGACGGGAGTGAGGCACAACAATGAATAATAAAACCTGCTCGTAAGCACCGTGAGCTTGGCTGCTCAAAAACAATACATTCCTCCGGCTGCACTTCACTGCTAACACTGTAAATCAGAGGATCCGTCCAAACTTTGCTCCATTTCACACAGCTTTTCCAAGATGGACGACCGCCTTCCCGTCCATGATTCACAACTTCGGTGGGAGTGCAGCAAGACTTAAGAGGAATTTTGATATAGTGGCATATGTGAGGAGTCGTTCCTCTTTCAAGGGCTGTATCGAGTAAGAACGTGATTAAATCACCTTTTGACTGAAATGGTTAAGGAGGCGCACATGCTCAAAGTTGTATTTCTGCCGCATCCGGTTTAATTGTACTGAGATCATTGCACGTTGAAGGATTCTCCTCCACGTTAGCAGGATTGAAATGATCACCACTGCTGGTCAAGAGGGAGATATTTTGACAACTTGTTAAAACACATCAGTCCATTATACCGATTATCCAATGCAAACGTGCACCTGTTCTAGGTCTGACCGCATGCGGTGGCCTTTTTTCTTTGTCCAGCATGAATCTGACGTGGTGACGGCAGAGCCCAAACCGCGTTCCGGTTGCACTAAAGGCTGCAGATCGATCAGCGGGCACCGTTCAATCCGCTTATTTTTTTCATCGCATGCCGTTGTTCATTTACGTGCAAACGTGCCTCTCCACGCGTGTGAGCGACTGTTTGTCGTCCAAGTGAGTCAGAGAGGAGAAGGTCAAGTTTTTTGGAGGGGGAGGATTGTGGTTTAACTGCGTTTCTCTCAACAGGTCAGTCTCGCTCCACCCTGAGTCTGCATTATCTCACCTCCTCACCCTGTCTGCTCACTGTCACTCTAATGGAATCAGAGCGCCTGGGGATGGCTAAATACTTGAGGAGAAACACCAGTCTCACCTCATTGTGTTTAAACAGCCACCAGGGCTATGCCAGGAATGTACACTGTGCATTAGTCTGAATGTATACATATTTCCCTAATCCTATAAAAACACATTGTAGCAGTGCCAAAATCCATTATGGTGCAGTGCGTGTGTGCTTCTGCGTGAGTGTGTGTGTCGTCAAGATAAAGGAAGGGATGAACGCGGAAAGTTATCAGCCAAAAATGTGTTGCATTTTGTCACAAATTTAACCAAAAGCCCAGAGTCCAAGATGTAGGAGAGGTACAACATTGAGTTTGACATCACTCGTTAGTTAGGAGGAAGAGCAAGTCAATAAGAAAGTAAGCGACCGAGGCGGCACGCACTGTATACTTCTCATGGACAAGTTGACATTTCAGTCCAAGCAAAGGTGGCTGAAATAAAGCCAAAGTCAGAACATCGCTCTTACTCCCGAAGCAAGAATGTAAACACACTAAATTCCAGTCAGAGTGGCAAAGAACATCTGACAGTCATAGACGGCTGTGTGTATTTAAGTCAACACTTTGTGTATACTACAAGCAAGTGTTAAGTCTCTCTACAGATAACGTATTATACATAAACCTCAGTATGTGTTTTATGGGCACTTGACTTCTGGAACATTTGACATTAAGTTTCTTCAAGAAAAACTAATTAGTAAGAAGTGAATTCTGTGGCCGGCTGTAAATCACAGAGAAGAGTGAAAAACCCCTTCAAAGAAAATTCGATCGTCGCGCCCGAGGCCGAGGAAAGTTACGGCGGGGATTCGACGGATCCGGCGTTCACAATCTCGTGAATATTCTTACGCAACCCAGAGAAAATCTTTAAGTCACACTATGACATAGTAATAAAAGAGGATTGGTGAATTAGCAATGTAATATATGAGCAACCAACACACTCTTTGGTGAAAAAGAAATTGGGTAACTAATAATATTAATAATAATACATTTCATTTATATAGTACTTTACATAAAACATTTTGAAATATCCTAAAAGCTAAATAAATAAAAACAAGCAGATAGTGAACAGACACAGAATACAGTTATACATTAAATGCAGTTCTGAAGAGGTGGGTTTTGAACTACACATTACTTCAATTATTTCAAGTCATGGTGTGTAGTCCTGCTGATATTATGGGGATGAACACAGATTTGTGCTTTTCTGTGATGAGCAACATCCCTGGTTGATCCCATTGCTCATGTCCGTCTCCAACGCACACACTCTCTCTCTTCTCTTTATCGCCCTGCAAAACACACCATT